AATTCACTGTCAGAAACAGGGACATTACACTGCTCGGCGTGAGTGCTCACAGCACAGCCGAATGAGGGGGGCGCGATGGCAACTGGCCGAACTGGGGGCGCGCGTCAGATATACGAACTGATGATGGAGCTGGACTCAGGAACGTTTTCTATAAAGATATGAATATTTGTGGACTATTATTTGCTTTTGAATTTATATTTAATACCGTAATTATGTACAGTTCTCGAGCGTGAACTCTGGCCGATAGCCATATCAAATAGAATAAAATTAAAATAAAAGTAATCATCGTTGCAAGCCAGTTAAGCATGGCCAGTCTTAAAACCTATAAGATCTGATAATTTTGTAATAGTTTTAAGCTCTGGTAATGACAATTTTGTTCATTCTGTAATTCACGGATAGTTCTAGAACAAACCGAGAAATTCATCCCAAGCCGACCGACAACACCGCCCGCGCATTCTGCACTCGATTTTGTTCTAGCGCGCTGCTTGTTTCCTTTCGCTCGTGTTTTGATATAGATTATTCACTGGGTCTCTCCGTTTTGTCACATAAACATATTAAATTCACTAACTCCCGTTCTTTGATCGCTTATTTCTTGCACTGTTAGAAGCCGTTGTTTTGGTCATTATATCAACTGTCGTTCCCATAAATTTCTCAGACTGGTGCAGAGTTCTAGTATATCTGGCCATCATACCCCGCCTTCTCAACGCAACGCCCTCTGACCCCTTTACCAAAATAAATTGTCCCTGTAATCTTATTCCGGCCTTTTGCTCTCCTTAGTGGGACTGCCTCCAAGTCTTAATTATTACCAACTCTGCTAAGTACTAGCAGCTGGTCCCGCTAAACATCTACCTCCCTCCACTGATTCTTCGGCACCCTAGTCCGCCCGCTCTTATACCAACTTCATGAAAGCGGATTGACCCGCCTTCACGGCAGCAGTCGAGGCTGCGCTCGAGGTGGTCCCTCCCCCACCTCGTGTGGAGGTGAGTCAGCCCTCAAAATGCGGCTGCCGCCCGACAGCACATCCTTGCCGGTTTTCGAAAGGAGTTCTCTCCCTCAGTCACCCTGGCACCAGGTGGCTTATAGAGCAACGGGATGACATCAAGGCGCACAACTCAAACGACCCCCGGCTTCCAGAACTCAACTTGGAAATTACTACCTCAATACAGGCCCATGCCAGGAACACCTGGCGGGCACATCTCGCGTCGTGCAACAGACGTACTCACCAATCGAAACAATGGAATCTCCTCCGTTCCCTAGCCGGAAAACGCAACCGCCCTCCCCACAATCAGCCAATCCAATTTGGTCAGACCTCCCTCTCTTCGCAGCGCAAGAAATCCAACGCCTTCTGTAAACTTTTCACTACCATCGCTCCACACTCTCAAAGCCCATCCCCCTGCCGCCTTATGCGTCGATTTTGAGCTGAGCATCCTCTCGACAGGGACTTCTCCCCCTTCGCCCTGGACATGGTGAAGCTCGCCATCAGAGCTGCCAACAATTCTTCCGCTCGGGGTCCAGACGTCCTCACGGTCCTTCACCTCAAGCATCTTGGCCCACGTGGCCTTCAGTTCCTTACCCACATATTAATGTCCCTGTCTCTACGGCCGCTATTCCGTCTATATGGAAAAACTCAATGATTATTCCTATCCCAAAGCCTGGTAAACCTAGTAACCAGGGTTCCTCCTGCCGCCCATATCATTCCTTTGTCTAGCGGTCAAGATCCTGGAGCGTCTTCTACTCCCATACATCTTAGAATCTCTTACCACGGTCTCCTCGCAACATGGCTTCAAACCAGGACACTCAACAGTCACCGCCCTTCTTCCGCTCACACACCCGATTGCGACTGGTTTCAATTCACGACGGCCTCCAGCCAGCACAGTGGCAGCTGCGGTCGTCCTCTCGAGAGCGTTCGAGAGAATCGGCGACAGGCCACATCAGGACTACTCTTTAGCGCCGACATCACTATGTTATGTTATATTATGATAGTGTCGACCATTTAGTATGATCAGAGCCTCAGACCTTCATCACAACCTGGTCCGCAAGCTGTGTTGCTACCTCGGAGGCAGGATGGCATCCTGCCTCTATCTCAGAACGCAATCCCCCTTCAGAACATTCCATTCAGGAGTTCCCCAAGGTTCGGTCACCTCGCCAACCTATTCAACCACTTCATTTCGGATATACCTGTACCGGCCCCCAATATTGCCTCATACGCGGACGACCTCACTATCTTCGCGTCGTCTTCGAGGCTCGACGCTGCGGAGGCTGACCTCGCTGGGCTTCTCCGGGGCGTCTCAGCTAGACTGGTCTGCTGCCAAGAAACTGACCATGGCACCATGCAAGTCTTCCGTCACGCTCTTCACCCCAGACACTCATTCTTCTGCAACAATCTGCAATGGCAGCATTCCCCTAGAGAAAAACAAATCCTATGCGTCACCTGGAATCCCCACTACACGTTTTCTCCTCATTTCAGAGCCATTGCCACCAAAGCAACGGGTTCCTTACGTATCCTAAAAGCCCTGGCCGGCACCAACTGTGGTTTCTCTAAGGAGGACATCATTGCCGTGCACCTAACGAACAATCACGTGCCCAATCCTCAATTACGCTGTCCCCATCTGGTACCCTGTCGCCTACGCACTGCAATAGCAAGCCTACACACCATCCAAAATTCAGCCCTGCGACTAGCCACCGGCTGCCTCAAAATGGCCCCAATCGCCCATCTCTATGGTGAGCCTGGCGTCCTTCCCCTGCCCGCTCACCTGGACTTGGCCAGTGCTCAGTTCCTCGCCAGCGCCCACAACCCTCCCATACTTCTTTCCACACCGCCTCTGCCCCCCTCGGAAACCGCCCCATGAAAGCCTCCATCAAGTCGAGATTCGACACCTTGTTGCGCCATTTCTGGCAAACGGCATCATGCCCACCGGTGCCTATGGGGGGGGGGGGGCTAAACGCTCCTTCCGCAGGGAGATCGCCTCCCGCGTTGCGGCGACTGTCGTTAACAACGCTGTCCTCGTGCCCACCACCACCGATTGCATCAGAAGAGGCCTTGCTTCCTTGCCCCCTACCGCTCGGCGCTATCCAAGCTCCGCACGGGATAAAGTAGTTCTCTGGCGTCCTTCGCCTTCAGGGTCGGACGCTTCCCTTGCGCCGCCTGCCCAGAGTGCGGAGATCCCCTCCAGTCCGTCCATCATCTCTTTGCTTGCCCCTCCTTCCCCACGTCTCTCAGCGTCTCCTCTTTGTGGGACAGTTCCGCGGAGGCGGCGGCGTTCCTGGCCACCCTCCCTGCCTTCGCCCATCTCCCCTCTCTTCCGGTACCTCCCCCTCGACCACCACCGGAGCCTCCACCCCTGCGAGCGTGACGTCGGTGTAAGAAACAACAACCTCATTGAAGTTTACGTGTATACTCATGGTTTATGCAATGTCCCAAAAGGATTACTAAAATTTGAAATAAGAACCAACACCCGGCGCTACAGCTATAAATTAAAAAACATGCGGTACAACACATGCGACAACACTTTTTCACTTCGAGTCACCGACATGTGGAACAGCCTAACAGGTTGTCCCGCTCCGAGTATGAACGCGTTCAAGAATAGACAAATAAAGCTATGGTGAAATATATGTTCAGACTTGAAATACCTAGCACCATAGCAAACCCTGTGGAAGTCTAGTAGCTATTTCAAACTACCGTCAGTTTTGCAAAGATCAAATCAAATGACCTGTTTTTAGATCTCCTGTGAACAAGTCACGAAAAGGGGTGGATAGCTAGAGGTCAGCATAGCCCAAGTCCACAGTGCGATTCATAAACCTTCCCGAGCGTAACACAGCCTGGCATCTTCACGGCTTTTGACACAAAGCGCCCCCCACAACAGCGCCGTTCAGTCACAGGCCGTAGCGCATACAGGCCGGAGCTCAACTGGCCGGAGTGCAACAGGCCCTACCGCAACAGCTAATCCTAACGTAACCTAACCTGCGCCGCCTGTTGCCGCGTTGCGGTAGGGCCTTTTTCGCTCCGGCCAGTTGCGCTGTGGAGCAGTAGCTGTGTTGTGCAAAGTGGATTTACTGTTAGCTGGAGTTACATGCAGCTCATTGGTCTGAGGCTATGTGTAGATATTGCATGCTGATGGTTGGCGTTAGGCCCAGGACCTGTTTACGAGTTAATTTTGTTACCCACGGCTGCGCTTCCACGAAAAGTACAAGGATTGGCGACGTGCCACATCAGGCCTATTTATTCTTCAGCACCGACACCATTATGATATGAATATGATATTAGATATGATATGCCGCCGGTTTACAGCATCACACAATTTTCTCTGCTAACTAGGGCTTGAACCCAGAAAACGCAGTTCTAACATTGCTTCCTTGGACCTTTTCGCCACAATTTTTTTTTCAATCAGATCTCTGGGTAAGATTAAGAATATGACAGAAAGTATGTATTTTCATGTTAACTGACTAAAATAAAATACACTTAACTCTTTCTCGTACTGTTATAAGTCGAAAGTCTGAGTTATAATATCACCAAGAGTGAAGATATCGAAGAGGTTGCCATTCAGATCGATATCGAGGAGGCTGCCATTAAGTTTGGCACATACTGTAATTGTGGCAGTGAATTGGCGGGTTTGAAGCCAAGTTAGCTGCAAACTTTCTGATTCTGTTATGTCTATAATCGATGACAGGCCAGACATTTAGTCTTGAATGCTGAAATCATTATATTGTTACTTCAATGAACTAAAATACCGGCTTGCATCAGTGCACTTCTAAATTTACAATGTCAATTACAACTTCATTCATGATAAACTGGATCATATTATCTTGTCAAATCACACAGACGTGTTTGAAAGATAAAAATGTATGTTGACATATCTCAAAATCTTGTAACAATTTCAAATAAATAATGGGACCTAAACTATCTTATGATTGTACAAACGAATTAGTAATATAGAGGGAAATAACACACTTGAAGTTGAAGGTCTAAAAAAATTTCCGGCAGAACGTATAGAAAATGAACAGCCGTTTCTTCCGGTTGTACCCAGAAATTGGGTTCCTCGTGCCATAAAATTTGAATTTTATATAATTACTGGCACTGTTTCATGCTGGCTTTGTAAATATAATGACCAGCATTGGTGAAAACGATTCCAATGTTTCGAAAAAGCCATGTCGATCATGCATGGATTTCAAATCATGGATGAAACAGCAACGTCAGAGCCAGACTACTACATCTGGTAAGGTAATAAAAGCTAAAATGTGAACAAGTATACATGTTAGGATTATTCTTAAACCATTTGTTGTCTGATATAAGGCATAATATGTAACAATATCTGTAAATAACCATGATATGCCTCATTAACATAGTGAAATTCTAGGAAGGGAGGTACTTACGGCGCTCCACCTTGAGTCCCTTTGCGGCTTCACACTCCCTTGTGATCTTGGTCGAGCACTCCGGCTATTGGCAAGTGGCAACTTATGGCGGACTGGTGGTCTAAACACAGCTCAGTCTAAACCCAGCTTGGTCTTGCACTCTTGCCTAGTGGAGTTTTGAAATTGATTTAAATAAAAAAATAAGATTTGAACTGTAAAATTGCTTTATGTTCTGCTGGTTGCCAAATTCCATCAGTGATTGAAAAAAATGACATTGACTTACTTTCATTGGTTGCCAAGTCATCTCTCTGGGCCTAGGCTCCCTTCCCTGAGTTCAAGTTCCATAATCCATCCTAGGTTTCCCTTTCAAGCTTTATGGTTTATGGCATTCATGCCACCGTTGGAAAAGAATGTCACAAATCACTCACTGTCTCACAATCACAATCAAATCAATTGAATGGCTTGTCACAATCAAATCTATAATTCACAAGCAAATATCACAACACGGGAGTTGAGAGATTGTTGTCAAACCACAAACTGTCACAAACCCATATCCAGGATGGTGCAGCGCGTACGCCGGAGGCTTCAACGCAGCGACGCTGAGTGTACGCCAATAAAACAATGAGTGTACGCCAATAAAACAAAAAAAAATCAAGGTATTCCAGGTAAGTATGTACGCATACGCCAGGATGAATTATATGCTATGAAACTCTGGAATCGCTAAATTATACTATTTTAGTATGACAGGCAATGTCTACCAAATCTTTCCATGCGGTGGTCCGGTGGAACGATTCTAACAAATATATATTAATTATTTCCCGATTGTATTTATTTACGTTGTTTCTTTTTCTAATGCTTATGAACATTTTTTATAAATTTGAATTGCGTAAAGGCTTTGCTGCTTGATGAAATTATTGTATGTATGGATTTTCGTATTTTTCTGTAATACAGATTCAAGCATTGGCACAGCACAGCAGTAGCAGGAGAGAGATTTATTAGCAACTGAGATTCGTCTAAAAATAAAAAGAAGGAAATGAATGGAACACAGAAGAAAGATGCTGTTGCAAACAAGCTGATCATTCATGGACTAATGTTAAAGCAAAATGAAAAAGGTATCTTTTTATAGGAAAAAAAACACTGGAAAGAAACAGAGTGCTTCCTCTCACTCGTCCACTTGCGATCCAGGCGTTTCAGCTCAGCCAACAAATGGACACTGTGACATTAGATTCCTAGGCTACGACGGTCGACAACTTTGCTCACGTCGTATCGAGTAGCTCGAGCGTCAACAAAAAACGGGCCGCGATTCGTATCGTAATCAAAAAACTTGTTTTGTCTTAAATAATTGAGACAAATCTTGTCTCGTCTCGTTATGTCTCATTTCAAATCTGTCTGTCACGTCCTGGTTCATAAGTAACTGGGACACAAGTTTTAAAGTCCGGGACAGAAGTCTTGTCTCGGTTCATACGTTTATTCCGGGACAAATTTAACTCTCTGTCCCGTTATTTTTTTTTTCCTGAAATTTTCTCATCTCGCTTCGTCTGTCCCGGTTCATTTCGAGAAAATTATTTGGGGACGCAGGAGTCTATTGCTAACTACTAAAGTACCCAGTGATTAGGTCGCGTACCATATTTTTCAATATATAAATATTAATAATACCTTATTGCCTCACTGACGTTTCTCATAAGGGTTTCACTTCGGGTTCTGGAGATATTTTAGAAAAATAAAATATATCATAAACTACTCAATTGATTACAATGAAACGTCACACATGAATTTATAGAAGCCTTCCAATTATTATGTGGTCGTAAGAAATTCTTGCACTTCGACTTCACTGGTAATTGATAGACTAAAATGGCCTTAATTTGAAGCAAGCCTAAAATACGAGTTTCTCATACTATACTCCTTTGCAGATTTTAACAAAACTTTGGACATTCATTCCCCATCATCTTCCAACGATGTGTAGGTCCTAAAAATCTTTCTGAGTTCGACTTCCTTCACGAGTGCAGAGCTGTAAAATAAAAGTTTTCGTTAAAAATAATAGCATACTGACATGCACACTACAAACGGGTAAGAGATAATTAATCACCGCTTGTACACTTTTGGGATAATTTTTTGGGACTGTTTCTTTTAATTCAAAAACGATTTTGATCTAATTAATGACAAAGTTATTTATTACCAATACACTCTGGCGCGAGCGTTGTCCGAATTCACTCTCTGCTTCATTTCGCGTACTACCACGCGCAATCGCTACATTAGGTATGCGCGTAAAAAGTGCGTACACTTGGTTCTTAGCGGGGCAAGTGAAAACGAAACCGACCGTAAAAATTCTGACAGTGCTCGCAGGTGCTCATGATTAATAATTAGTTTATTTTTTAATTTAGTTATTATCGGTTTCAATTTGACAGTCAGGCGTGAAAAATCTGCTTTGAAAAGCAGTACCCAAATTGAATCCCAAAAGGGTCCAGATGGTATTAAATATGTGGTTAGTTACCTGCAGCTATAGGAGCTTTGCTTTAAATTATCTCATTTTCAAGCGTTGACCGGATCGTCGAAGTTAAATACAAATATTTTTACGACGGAATTGTCATTGAAAGTCCTATAAATATATGTCAACAGTCAATTGGTTTAATCCGAATCTGTTCTGTGGTCTGGAAAATATTTTGGGCCTACTAGCCTACTAGGAATCTGAAGACTGGCCGGAGAATTGTCCTATTGGTGCAGATAATTGTCACCCAATTTACACTTGGCAATCATGGTCTACTCAGAGGTGGTGACTCATACGCACTACGTCGTGTTTCTTAATTTAAGATTGTCTAATGGAATCTGGGGGGACGGTGAGTTCAGCCGGCATGATAAAAAAAATTTAACTGTTAAACAAGTGACCATAACCAGATCAGTGTTTCTACGTAGTTGAGTGATGCCCTTCCTCTCAAAGCTACTTCTTCTCACGTGTTACAAATTTTCGACAAACGTAACTATTTTTATTATCAAAATATTTTTTTAGCTCTTTGCCAATTTGGCGCCCTTTTCGATCAAGACAAGCATTTGATAGATTGATCCATTACCGCTTGCGCACTTCGTAATGCATTATCTAGTTTTTTTATAAACTAAAAATTTGATTCTCACTAAGGAAAGAGGAAATATCAACATAATTTCTTATAAATTTAATTTAATTTAATAAAAAATGAGAATACTTCCTGCAAGATGCAGCTGCTTGTAGTGGTTCTATAAAGGCGATGTGTAGAGCAGAGATTCTCCAATCGCAGCAGTGGACATCGGACTTTGTTTTATCCCCAGCCGACATAAGGGCTACCGGTAGTGTGTTTCGGCATCTATAATGGGCCACAGAATCTGAAACAAAAAAAAGTATTAAAACATTTAAAATCTTAAATACCATAAGTGTATCTATATTTTTTCAAGAAATTCATGTGTTAGCTAACAATTTCTATTTGTACTACCATGCCCTGCGCTCGCAGCCCCAGAAATGTATAACGCCTGTATTGTATGAGGTAGTGGCGGTACCGCCATACGCCGCTGGCTCGCAGCGCCGACATTTTTCCTGATGTACGTTGGGTGTCTGCGCCAAGTGCACAAATTTTTCCTGATGTACGCCGGGGGTGTACCCCAAGTACACGAATTAGTCCTGATTTACGCCAAGGCGTACGCCGGGGCAAGTTCTCAGAGCCTTGTATACGCCAGATTAATCCGCGGAAAACAGCACCATCCTGGGTATGGTCACAAACGTTTTGACTCCTTGCCCATGCTGTCGGCCACACTCAGGATGATGTATGTTTTCGGCAAATTTTCCCGCGCATTTTCACTTTTTTTAAGCTATTGCTGTGGACAGTTGGCGCAATGTAATGAAAATTGATTATCTTCGCTCACGTGTTTGCGCTATCCCGGTCATCAATTCTACGTCGCGCTGCCGCGCACGAGCAGTTTGTGGAGGAACAGACGTAATACTCACATTACTCAGTAGTCAGTACAGTATGCCTTTAATTATCTTTCAATAATATATGATTTTTCTTGGTACGGAAATTTGGTGAATGAGAAATCTAGAACTTTATTTTAGAAGAAATTTTCTCCAAAGTCATATGGCAACACTGAACACCGTCTGTTTACATTTCGTATGTAATATGTATAACAGCCGCAGTTTACGATTACCGTACGTTCCGTATCTGACAAGGCGGACAAGCGGAAGAGTCAGAAGTAACCCGGACATGTCTTACATTTTATTATTGTCAGTTCGACTCGCGTAGTCAATATACTCGCGTATATTGTTGACTAAAATAGTAGAACTATTTTCACGGCGCATTTTTTTACCAGCATAGTACGGCGCACCGCGCAGGTCGTTAAAATGACAAAATAAATTCCCGCGCACCTGGCACATCTTCCTGACCATGGGCTGTCGGTTGCCGCTACGGCGGCCGGCGGCACTACCTTGTTTGGTTTCCAGAGGCACGGTTCTCAACTGTCATCCTGTAATGAATATTCATTGCATTTTCAGATCTCCTATCGCTATCTGTGATTTTTTTTCTAGAATATAATTTATTCTATCCTATTATCAAAGTTGTCTTTAAAACCACATTACATGGTTACATATATAACTTTAAGAATAAACTTTAGGTTAAATAATTTGCCATCAACTGGATACCTTTGGATGAAATTTGCTCCATAGTTGCTTCTTTATTTATATTATCTGTATAAAATATTCAACATAATTTTTCATTAACACTTACAAAGCCAATTTTGTTGAGTGTACTTATCTTTAACAACACAGTAGACAATAGCATTGCAACCAAAATTATCGAATTGTAGGTTGTTTTTTTCAGCTCATCCAACTACCCAGAAACTGGAAATTTTAAAAATTATGCTCTGGTGTACCTCCTGTTCTGTGGTTAGCTTTGCCAAAGATTTACAAATAACTAAAGTGCAGTAATTTTAGACCTAACGTGCTGGCAACATCTTCTGAAGGCGTAAATTTGGCCACTGATGCATAGCCACAAATCTTCAGATATTCACCCACTTTCTGCACCCTGGTATAATCTCTATTGCATTTGACTTCTGCTTAACAGGGTTGGCGATTTTTTTGATTTAAAAAAAAAAAATCAAAAAAATCAATAATCAATGATTTTTTTTATTTTTTCATGATTTTTTTTATTTATTTGATTTTTTTTATTTTTTCAGCTTTTTTGTATTTTTTGAGGTGTTATTTTTTATGTTGCAATTATCCTACTAACAATAACAGTATATGGATCATAATGGATGGCTAAAAAGGCCACTTATTGCCTCCAATAATGGCCAACAGGCCAAGGTGGTGTTTACCACTTAGGGCTTTTCGGGTAAACAAATATTGATAAGTCTATTAATTAGCTTTGTAAAGTTTGTATGGAGCAAGGTAATGAGCTAAATATTGACCATTTAACTGGCTTCAATATACAAAAACACTTCAGAATGCAGATCTTCTAGACATTGAAGAGTCACATAACAGATAGGTAGCTGATAGCACAGTGCACAGCACTATCAATAGATCTACTAGTTTTATGTCCTATAAATCTACCAGACTCTACCTTCTATACTCACTGACTAGTAGTGACTGAGTGACTGACTGCACTATTCCCATTTAATTCAGACCAATAAACCAATACTAAAAATAAACAACGATAACCAAACAAACCTCATACGACTTGAAACGAGACTTGAGTTATGAGAAAAGCTAACACTGTTTGAAATAAACATGTGCACAATTCAAATATTTTATATCCATTCACTGCATTTAATTATTTTATATATCGTCTTATAATTGTAATTGTTTCTAGTTTTAAATTCAAACATTTAAAGATTGAAATTAAATATTTCAATTAGAATACTCGTATTAGGGTGGAAAATCTTTCTAATTGCCTAAAAGTTCAATACAATCTCAACCTCTCAATATACAGGGTGGAGCAGAACCGATTGAGTAGTTTTGAGGTAAAATAAAAGAGTAATGGAAGTACATAAAGAAGGTTAGCATAACATACCATTTAGAATACTTATGTTTCGAAAACAATATCTGGAAGATGGGGGCTGTTAGCTGCAACACACTGTTGGAGTCGTTCTCAGAGGAGGGAGTAACCATGACAGTGAATTCCGATTGCTATGCTGCAATGTTGCAAAATTTCTTGCAGCCCATGATGGAAAACATTGTTGAAAATGAAGCATTGAGAGACTGTGGTTCCAGCAGGATGGGGCTACAGCTCACACAGCTCGAATGTCACTCAATGTTTTGAAACGCATGTTTCCTGTAGGTCTGGTGTCTCTAAGGGGTGATTTACAGTGGCCTGCGAGGTCACCTGATTTGAGCATTTGCGATTTCTTTCTTTGGGGACATCTAAAAGAAAGAGGTTCAGAAGTCGCCCTCACACCCTACCACAGCTAAGGGAACGGATTATTGCAGCAGAGATTACGGCCATACCTCGCCATATGTGTGAACGTGCTTTAGGAAACTTCTGAGAACAACTCCAACAGTGTGATGCAGCTAACAAACCCCATATTCCTGATATTGTTTTCAAAACATAAGTATTTTAAATGGTATGTTATGCTAATCATGAGGAAAATAAACTTTCGTCTTAATGTACCTCCATTACTCTTTTATTTCGCCTCAAAACTGTTCAATCAGTTCTGCCCCACCCTGTATAAGCTAGCTAACACATTTAAATTGTATATTGTAATCAATATATAACAAATAGTCAAATAGTTAGACTACTTATAGCCTTATAAGAATTAGCTAAGGTACTAGCTACGTAAAATGTATTGCACTCTTGATGGCTCTGTACCAAAAACATTCCATTTATTGGAACCTAATACACACTAAAGGCAACAAGTTTATATACCAATTTGTCATTCATAGTACATTTATACTAAACCATGATTAACAATACCTCAATATAAATTAAAGACTGTCACTCAATATTTTTAAATATATGAAAAAATCAAAAAAATTGAAAAAATCAAAAAAATCATGATTTTTTATAAAAAAATCAAGTGATTTAATCACATGATTTAATCATTTTGATTTAATCATTGCCAACCCTGCTGCTTAATTTTCCAGAATGGGTAGTGGTCTTGTCAGACTGAATTAGAACTGCATAGTTTCTTCAAGAAAAATGTACAAAAATATAATCACATGATTAATTGCTATGAAAGGGAAGAAAAATATTCTTATTGCTATTGCTCTTTCTTAGGTAAAATAGGAGATTTGGCATAATATGTATGCATGGCTGGGCAAATGAGTTTTGTGCTCTTGTATGGCTTTATATATTCTAAAATGGGGTTCACAGCTCTGATAGATATTTTCACTCTAGCAAAGCCATATTTATGGTAAATTATGTAGGTAATAATCTAGTACTATCATAGCCCCTTGAGTTGTCATAGCAATTATGTTACATGTCTTAAAAGGAAAAAATCTTTCAATTATGCAATAAATAAAAGATTTCTAGTAATACCCATGCAGTTTTCTTGTTGCTATATTGTGATTGAATCCTGTAAATTGAAGTTCTGACAAGCCAAACTAAAAAAATGGGCAAAAGAGACAAAAATAGAATTTGAATGAGATGAAAATGCCTGTGCATGTGGACAATTTCACCTTACAATATATACCTATGTTAGGTGCAGAATTTTGATGAATAATTAAGTGGAAGTAAATTTATCAAATCCACTTAACTAAAGTTTTCCATTTATCATTTCATTTCAATGCATAATTTTTTCCATTCCTTACTTGAAGACACTATTCATTAATTTAAATGCTGTGTATAGCAATTTAAATTATTGATTAGGATTTTCAGTACCATATGGTCTGCATGACAATATGTTCATAAATTAAGCTAGCTAAAATTTACAGGATAATGCTGCAAGTGCCTCATCATCTTCGGCCAACACTATTCCTACTTCAGAGACCTCTGGAAATGACAGTCAAAAAGATGAGCCAACACTCTATGGTAAACACCAAGAGCATATAGATAACTGAACAATTTTCTTTTGTGATCAACAATGTGTTTCATAAGAACAAATATATTGCTAAATTCAGTATAGTTTTAGTTAGCTTAATATGTCTAGTATTGTAATAAAAAGAAGTCTTGCCTCTGTGTCCAGGTATGGCTGCTAAGGAAGGCTGCCCTGCTGATGTGATGTCACTAGGTCGTGGTTCGTGGCGTCTGCTGCACACACTTGCTGCTAATTATCCTGATGCTCCAACTGAAGAGGAAAAACAAAATGTGACGCAGTTCATTGAACTCTTTTCTAGGGTCTATCCGTGCCCTCCCTGTGCCCAGGACTTCAGGGAATGGTAAGTAAAATGTTCGGTGGCACTTTAGTTGATCAGCAAAATAGTGAAATTTTGGTTAAACATTTTGTGTTTCCTAATGTTTCAAGTTATTACTGTTTAAAATTTATTTCAAATATGGGAATTCTAAAACTTTGAAAAATTGATTTGAAAATAAAAATTTATTAATTTGCAGTTACTAGACTACAATATTTTCACTCTTCAGTAACTTGGTAATTTTAATGAAAGCTTTAATATGAATACCATTTCAATAATTCAGTTCATTTTTCACAGACGTTTTTGTTAGAGGTACAAGCGTTAATATAACATGATATATTTGTAATATCATAATATGTTAATTCTCAACATACAAAATGAGGAAGAAACAAGATTTTCTACCACCACTTAAATTTTCAGGCTGGGCAGCAATCCTCCGGACGTGCGGTCGGGGCCGATGTTGTCGCAGTTTTTCTGCAGAGCGCACAACGAAGTCAACAGGAAATTGAACAAGAAGGAATTTGACTGTAAACTTGTGGATGAGCGGTGGAAGCTTGGCTGGAAAGACGGTTCTTGTGGATAGATTTATTATGTACTATATGTCGAAACTATGTGGGAATGAAAACAAAAACTCTGGGTTCTGCTAACAGTAAACGGCCGAAGTATATATATATATTTAGTAATCTGTGATAACCATTTTCTTTTTAATGTGAATCACTTGTAAAAAGTAAAATATACTTTCTTGCTTAATACACTATCATCGAAATATTTCTTGAACTTTGTTACTTCATAAGTTGCGATGGTTTTCCACAACCTATTGGTTAAAGCACGTAGCACTTTGAAAAGCACGTGCATATAATATGTAGCTTTCATACAACTGGCGGTACGATGCATTCTTGCCGTCAGTTGTACTCTGGCACGAATGCTTTCTTATTTTCCCCCCGTTTGTGAGGTCGCGAATTCTTATCTTGCGAATTTACGTCAAATTCATGAAACTGACAGGTGCGTTGGCAGCAATTATTGTCTAAGAAACAAAACTATTGATACACATGGAAATCGTTTTAATAAAAGTCAATTCTTCAGTTTTCAGAATTTCATTAGTAAGTTTCATACGTTAAAACTTCTTAGTTAAATACTAACAATAGTTTTTTTCAGATGATTGTTGAATGTACCGTATGTTTTAAAGCTTGAATCACTGTAAATAATGTTACAAATATTCGTGGTATAATCTAAGAAGGTATTTTATTCACAAATTTTGGTTCAATAATTAGTTCATGAATCTGCTGAATCTTTCTGACTGAAAGCCACTTGTCATTTGTTATACCAGACCAGTATATTTGTTAAACCAGACTTTTATTTTCGTCATTGTATTTTGTTTTCCTGTTGTGTGGGCAGGTCTATGGCGAATTAAGTAAATTCTCAAGCTGTCATCGCTGCACTCTCTTTATCCTCAGTCTAAGTGGCGCAATTCCTTGGCCGTCCAAAATGACCAGGAATTTTCACCCGTCCAAATGCCGAGGTCCGTCCAAAGGCTTTATTCAGGTAGCGCTGCAAATTTATTTATTTGCAGCTCGACCGTCCAGGTCGTGCTGCAAGAGTATCCGCAACCGCAACGCACATAGAGCATCCTCCTGACCACGCCTAAAAACTGCTAGAGTGAAGTTCATTAGAAGGAACATGGATGTACTGAATTTAAAATACATCAACGTGGAATAAACTTTCTCATGTTATCAATGATCCGAAAAGTTGATGATGAAAATTCAAGCGATAATGAGGCTTTGATTACTACTGGGAAATGAAGCTCACGTTCGTTCCTAAAAATGGCGTTTGGAAACTTGAAACACTCATTATTATAAGAGATGTAACTAAGTTGAGATTTTTGTGGTTTTTAACCCCTGTTTGATGGAAACGCACGATTATATAGGATATTTTGAAATGGGAACATCCCGATCTGCGTAGCAGTAGAGGATTAGGGCTACGGTAGCACTTGCTCTAGAATGTGGATACCAGCCGGTGATGAGTTGCCGTCTAAATTGTGGTCCATTTGAGGCTGTGGTAGTTTTTATATTTTTTAGAGGTTATGGAGGGATGCTACGAAAAATTCTATGTTTATCAATGTGAGAAACGTATGCAAAGAAGGTAACATTCTTTTCGGAGGCATATTTATTATGTAGAGTAATATGGGAAAAAATTTGTGAACTACTTACGTGCATTTATTGTTTAATACATGACTGTCCAAATTTTGCCCTATCAGTGGTTTTAGTTAATTTAGGGGTACGGTTGGCATAGAGGTCCGTACACGGTTCAATTTGAGATACATTATAGCCGTTAACTTTTGCAGACTGTGGAACCAGCGAATTAAAAACAGCATGTGGCAATAAACAAATTTGTTGTACTTCGCCAATTTTTTTAGCTGTATGAGTGGCTAATTATCGGCAAACTAGTGAAACTATGAAATCTGTAATATTTCATTCGTCAGGAAGAAATTGAACGTCGAGAAATTCTGAGAAAAAATTAGGTTTACTTTTTGTTTTGAAGACTTCACTACACTCATCTTTCATAGAATGTCGTAAATTATACAAAGCATGGACTCAACAAACCAAACTTTCATATTTCTTATACCCATTACTCTAAAAAATAGTCCTATAGGAAAAAAATAGGAAAAGTATTGCAATATTTTCGCTCAAACAATATTCGCTAGATAGCCGGATTAATTCTACGATTTCAATGATGAATTCATTTTCTTCATAATAGTATGCATAGTAATAGTACAAGTCAGTTTCTTATACGCATTTAAAAATATTCTTTTAAAATTTTTATTTCCCAAAGCAATTGCCCTACGGGCACAATCACTTCTATGTACTTAGTCCTTATATTGCCTTATAAAAATTGGAGCTGAGACCGAAATAATATTGTTACAGCAACTATTTTTATTTATTGGCTAAAATTGTTTGAACCATCTGATTTTGTACAATAAATGAAACTGTGGAACTCGCTTTAAGCATGAAGATCCCGCATAGAGATACAAGTTAGGTGAATTTTAACAAAAGTTTTAAAAAATTTTTTTTCTCGAAACCTCAACTCCGAGGCCGACAAGAAGGCTTATTCTTGGCCTAACCCAAATTCCTGCCCGGCGAGATTTGATATCTTGAAAAGTTTGGCCCGCGGTTGGGAGAAGGTTAGACTCAGCGAGATTAGGCTTCTGATGGTACATTCAGTTCTACCACACAGTTCAGGGTTATCCAAAAAGCTGCTTGCAATTATTCAACTTTTTTAAATATAATAAAAAATATTGTATTAGGTCCAATTACATTATTTTAAGGTTTTTCCTTTTTCAGTGATGACACGTTTTTACGGAACGCTGGGAGTGGTCCCACGGAGCTTTTGATTTATAAAAATCCCGCACCTATTTTAACGTTCGAATGCTGTTATTCCATGCATTTAAGAATTGTGATAGAGCACAGTCATATTTCGTGCTCCGTCGTCCAGTAATCACCATTGGACCCTTAAAATTGAATGGCTTAATATTACACTGAAACAGTTAATTAGTGTGATAAAAGTTTTATATGATTGCTAAATAATTGGAGCATGGAATCTAGTGATCCACCGTTAATCATGCACGAGTCTACGGTTTATGCAACATCTAATTTAGCTGCATTTAGATTAATGACCGTCGAACTGTCTTTGTTTGTTGCTCATTGGTACCTAAGGGGAATTTTCGAGCACCCCTCCGTCGCTCACCGCCCGTCGCTGTGGCGCCAACAATATTTGTCAGTTTCATTTCAACTCTACTGAACCAAGAAGAGTTCGAAGATAGGTAAGAATAAACTTGAGTAAATAACTTCTTACTACGCTAAGTTCTAAAAGTAATAATGAAAAAACTGTTGTGCCCTCAACCATAAACGAAAAGTAAACTATTATATCCCAATTACTGAACGCTTTCTGCGCAATTTGAAAAATTACATATTTTAAAACAGAAATTTTCCTCTGCACTAGTAACTGTAATGAGCTTGTATACTCAGAACAGCTTATCAAAACTTGGATGTTCCTGTTTGCTTAGCACGACTTTTTGGTTGCTCAATTTGCTCAGTACAACTTCTCAAACTTTGTTGTTACTGTTGGCCGAATCCAACTTCTCAAACTTGGCTGTTCCTGTTGGCCGAGTCCAACTTTTTCCCAAACTTGGTTGTTCCTGTTGGCCGAGTCCAACTTCTCAAACTTGGTTGTCTCTATTGGCCGAGTTCAACCAATTTTTTCTCAAACTTAGTTGTTCCTGTTGGCAGAGTCCAGCTTTTTCTCAAACTTGGTTGTTCCTGTTGGCCGACTCCAGCTTTTTCCCAAACTTGGTTGTTCCTGTTGGTCGAGTCCAACTTTTTCTCAAACTTGGTGGTCCCTGTTGGCCGGGTCCAACTTCTCGAAACTTGGTTGCTCTTGCTTGTGCAGTACACAGTTCAAACTTAGTTGTTCATATAAATTTCATGTCTTGCGTCTGCTCCCCCATCAATGTGGCGAGTCCTTTCGTTTGTAAATTCCTTATGTGATGGGAAAATAGTTTAAAGCTGGCGCAAGGGAACTAGGATCTTTTAATTTAATTAGTAAGAGATTTGAAATTATAAAAGGTTAGAGTAAAATAATGCGTCATGGGCGCTATAATCGCCAATGCGAGTAAATGTAATCGAGTAATGCGTCTTTGGCGGTAAAATTGCGAGTAATGCGTCATTGGCAGTAAAATCGACAATCCATAGTGAAACTTTTCCAAACAAACAGACAGACTTGATAGTGGACTCAAACGCAAAATACACACGCTGTGTTCGCGGTGGCATTATTCATAACGAATTTTGTTCAAATTTTACTTCGGACTAACCATAATTAACGGAGTTGTGCGCTGAGCACACGTCATTCAAAATTTCATTCAAATATGTTCCGTACTTTGGAAGAAATGTCATGCTTACTGCAAATTTCGGCACGTATATATTGTCGTATAACTCAGGAATGAAGGCGAAATTTTAAAAATTGTCATGAGCTAAACATCACCGTTAAGGCTCAAATGATTAGGTGTATACAGAATTGAATTAGTTACTCGAAAAACTTAGCGATAAATTTTTGTGTGAAAGAAAGCTTATCGTGAGTATCCATTATCAAATTTAAATCATCAATTAGAAAAAAATTATTTTGTATCCCAAACTCGATCGCTAGTATTTGTGTATTTCTCTCTTTCAAGTGGCCGAGCCGAATGTACCCGCTCGACGTCAGTGTTTTTCAAAACACGGTTTCAGATTCAAAATTAAGTGAATATATTGTGGGTGCACTTGTATCCAGTATTCCAAGAGTATAACGTAAGAGTAAAGAGGTTGGGGGTAACTGCTGAGATACAGCATCCATAATCCTGCTGTAAAAAAGACGAGTGTCTGAACTCTGACGTGAGTGACGTCGAGCTGACGAGCTGTCGAGCTCGAGCATGCGGCTGCATGCCCAGTTCCGTGGAATCCTTGGTAGTGTGAGGTGTGTCGCTCTTCTAGCTGATACTCTGATTAGCGCTCTCCGGCTCTCGGTGCTTGGCGCCTCTTTGAACGAAAAGTTTATTTTTGCTATAGAAATATTCATATCAATATAATTGAAAATTTAAGTGATTTCATCTGATGACGGTTGATGTGAAAAACTTGGCTTAAAACAGAAACTAGACTATAAGATGTGCTATAGACTGCACCTCGCTATACCTACATGTGCAGATGCTGTGCCTGAGTGTGCCATGGCTGCATGGCATAGGACGATAGGTAGTGATCTTAGTCGGGGCATCGTAGGCTGCTAAAATTACTTTCTACTTCATTCCAATGTTCTACATTATTTCTGTTCATGCTCAAACGTATCTTTTGAAATGATTTACTTATTGAGCGGGAAAACTCAGGCATGATGAAAAAATTTTATTTCTGTTCGTCCACACTGACTTGAGATAGGGGCTACTGAGTTTCTTCCAACTTCCGTATAGGATTAGGTACTAGCGACTTCTTTCAGTTCCCAGCATAAAAATACAGTGGTGAAAGGTGTTTTCACTTTCAACGAGCACCTTATCTGTCACCTATGTTCATCACAGTTTGCCAGTAGAGAAAACGTTCTTAAACTGATGCATGCTTCAATAAAAAGTGATCCCATTGCAATTTACCATCCACACATTAATAATTTTTTGTAAACATTTATTTACAAGTTCTTCAATGGAATTTTTGTTGAGAAACTATTCATTATTCACATATTCAGTCAGATGCATACTTTTCCTCTGCATAAATTATTTTAGGAGAACTATAGTTTGCCATGTGTGATGAAAGATGAATGTTGTCCCGCTTACACCATTCATATCTTTAATATATAGAAGCGAGAAAAGTAGTAAACGTTTCAGAAAAGTTTTCCAATACTGATGAATTTAATGCAGAAATAAAATTATGAATGATATGAACTTTCTGCACCCCGTCTTTGTTAGCAAACTGTGATGCATAAATTTCGAATAACGAAGGTCAGATTGTTCTTATGAAAGAGCTCTTCGAGCCCATTGATCCTAACTTGGTATAATGTGTAGTTGTGCTAGCGCGGCAATCCGACCGAAACGTGTCAGCTCGGACTAACTCGTATCGTGAATTTCTCCTAACTCCTGAAAATGTTACAGGATCCAATTTATAAATAACTATATAAGTTTTGAGTTATTTATAGTTTTTGTAATTTGATAGAGAAGTCAAGCACGATAAGCTTCTTATAGAATAGTAAACAAAATCTTATTTAATCTTGGCTGTGGCAGTCAAGAAAGCAGAGTTCCATGGCCATTACGAGTGCATTGCGTAATGCCTGAGGCCGAGCGCCTGGGGCGGAATGTCGCGCAAAAAGAATCTCAAGCTGAGTTGCTCAGTATTCACGATGACGACTTCAAACTTGTTACATTTGTTACTCGTTTGCTTTTTTGCGAGTTGATGCATTGATGCGAGAGTTGTCTTCTTTGATTCAAGCCCTCAAGAGTCCATATGCTATCAAAGTCAGTCGTGTATTCCGAGACTGGGATGTCCTTCAGGAAAGGCAAGGGCCTAACTCGGATGTCCTTCAGGAAAAGCAAGGGTGTTCACACAGGTAGCGGCAGATGAACTTCGTATCGAATGAACCTGATCGAGCTTGTGGCGAATTTTTCAATGACCACCACTAGCTGTGAAAATGTCCGTCATGTTTATGCAAATCTCGCAAGTCGACCTTTGTTCATTTCTACCAAGTGAATAAAAACTGTTTATTTCTGAAAGTCGACGGTTATAGTGTTCTATGTTAATCATCTCCATGAGGGACGTCGACTTCTTATTCTGTTAACTTCTGTAGGTATCTCTATTTCCCATGAAAAATAGTTGAACCTCATTACTTTCATTAGAATTTCCACTTTGTAGAGACTTGTAGGTAGTCTTATTTCTTGTAAATTGTTCTTGAGTGAACAAAATTAAATAAGTTAAATACCGTACACGAAGAAGCAGAAATCGGTGTTCCTGTGAATCGGTTCAAGACCTTAATTAGAAAGGCCACGAGTCGGTTCATTATAAGGGCTTTGCGATATTAATTATATAGATTATTAAATATTCATTGATTATGTGATAATATATACGTATACACACAACCAGTTTATTTCCAGTGAACTTATGAGCGTTTCTGCATTAATTTTTTGCCCTATGTTTATTTTTAGAACTTTAATACTTACCAAAATATAAAAAAATGTCAAACGTGTTCAGTTATTAACACGATGCTGAATTCGAGCCTAAACCCCTCGCCATATTTGAAAGGCGTCCTGTCACTATATACGACTACGTGGTCAGGGTGGCTTTTCTAAATCCGCATTTAGCCATCTTTTCTTAAGTTAAATCCCATTAGATTTTTCTCTTATCAAATTGGAATTCAACTTTACTACGTATTTTGCGATAGATGTCAGTCGATCCTTTTTCATTAGAATCATATAGGCGGAATTTTTGGGTTTTCTCCAAAGATTGCTTTACAAGAGCGACAGAAAATGATCGTGAGAACTAAAATTTAGCCTAAACTTGACAATCAAGTTTTTTTCGAACTTAGAAGTCGGTCAAAAATCTTAAAGCATTTCTTATGTAGGTAGTCATTTAGTCCGACGCATAGTCGTCGGATTATCTATTAGATATAATTTTATTTTGTACATATGACATTTCTCCATCATTGCACAAGAAGTACGAGACATTTGAACTATGCTTACTCTAAAGTTCAGGTCATTTTTTGATAGAAACTCGCGACTTTTTCTGTTACAGCCCATGTTGCTCTAATCCTATTTTTATATCTGTGCTGGTCTCCTAAAAACCTAATCTTTCCGGCCAAGATTTCTTAGCGCAGCAGAACGATTTTGTGTCCTAATTATTGGTGCTGTACATTGTTCATGACATTATGGGATACCTGGATAAACAATCCATGGATAAATTATCAAGATGGCTTCATCCAAGTTATCTGTCCTTGAAATTGTTCTTCAGGAACTGGGGCATGTTCCTATGGGCAGAACTATTTAACCTCACCCTGATGTTCTCCGCTGGTAAGTACTACATATAGCTGCTGTAATGGATCATTTTCTGTATTATGTACCGTATTTATTAATAGCCTTGCTCATTATTTACACAACTTATTATCAACTCTTGTTATTAATAGCCCCATCTTATTAATTGCACTAGGTACTCATTATGTGCACCAAGCATTCCTTGCCAATTAAGATGTTGAGTACGGAGAGGAAAATGTGTACCTAGTCAATATCTCGAGTCAAAATAAAAGAAAAGCAAATTTACTGTATATTTAATATATTACACGATCGTACATTAAATATGAAATAACATTTGCACGGAAATGATTGTTTATTTAATTTAAATCGGAGACAGATTTTTAAGCTGTGATGTTCGAAGAACAAATGAGCGAGCAATGCAGTTGACGATAATCTTGTTTGCGGAAGGACCAATAACGAATATTTGATTTTAAGAACCAAGAATTGTAACTACATAGCCAATAAGACACGTCCCGGCTACCGCTTTACCGGTAAACTTAGCAACCTAGGATTTTTTATTTTGGAGACATTTTAGATTTTTATTTCTTGTTTTGACGTAAAAATGTAAACTTCACGCGGTTAGTGTGTCGAATTTATGGAGTAACCCCAAGATTTTTTAGGGAATTTCAAGCATTTTCCTGTAAAGTATCAAATATTTTTCACCGTTTATATTGAAGTTCATCTCTGTAGAAACGCGAGTTTCTGCCCTTGCGCAACATTTATTTCTCATGACATCAATCGTCCTGAAACGTATTCAATTTTGCATCAACTTCCTGGTTTTAAACTGGTTCCGTGCGTTCTAGTTCGCTGCTAGGTTGCATCAACGATATCAGGTCACCAAGCCAGCGCGGTTTTTTATTCCGTGCAGTTTTTGTCTCGGTTGAGATGAAAGTAGAAGTATAGGTGGGTGCTGCAGCTCACTGTGAATGTATGTTTGGCAATGCACGGCCAGAACTGTGACATTTCTCTATGCTGATGTTTGATTCTAAGATCATGGACGCTCTTTCATTTAATTGTATTGTGGGGATCGTAAAAATTTATGATATGGATTCAGAGTGTGAAATTTCTTATTCTTCTGTCAACGTGCAGACATTTCGAATCGTATTTTGAACTTAGCGTAATATTTTGACGATCTGCGTGTTTGATTTTTTTTAGCTGATTGAAGGATATTTCATTTCATTCTGAGATACGAATGCGTCTGAGGAATGCATTTTGTTTCATCCGAGCTTCGAATTAAACTGAGAATACATTTGGTTCCTTCCCATTTCTCACTTTACGCCGCTCATAATCATCAAACCTCATTTCCACCCAACTTCTTTGCACTTTTCGTATGAATTTTTGTCTTAATCCATGTCACAAATTAGATTATTTTATCTTTTTTACCTGACCTCCAACTGCCCCTCTCGCTAAACACACCAGCATTTTCTTCATTCGTTCCCAACATGACTTGTGCATTCCATTGCCAAATCCAGGCAATGTTGTTCACCGGTGACCTCATGCGCTATCCGAAATGCCACTTGCAAAAACACTACCGACCCTCCTGGCAAATGACGTTAATGCGAGTTAATTTCGTTGAAAAACTAATTGATAAACTTGATTTTAACGTCAAGTGCGTGGTGGGGGAGGATTGCGCGATTGCGCACTTCTGTCCAGAACATTTTGGAGTTCACCGTGGTGACCAGCCCGCCTGGTAAACCAAAAGTTGTCTAGTGAAGCGAACTTGCAATCGAGGTTTGGCCTAACTCGATCATTTGATCATGCCTCCCTCCACCTCACTTGCTGCTGAAAAAATCGTGTTTTTATTCTCTTCGAAGGCAAATGCTATCGCAATGGCGCCTCTCTCTTTCATCTGCGCCAACACAAGAAACGGCCGGAGTTGTTCTTTGGCAGTGATAACGCATCGGTTGGATGCCCTCGTTTGAAAAACTGCGGTTGGCAGTAAAAAGTTCTTCCTTCATGTGAAGAATTATAGGAAATATTCATCGCTATTAATAGTACGCTCCTCTGTTTAACCCTTTCGGGGGCAAGCATTGGAATGCGCTAAGATTCAAACTTCCCAATTCACAACAAGAAAGTATAAATCATTTTAAAATATATTTACTCATGGATCTTTTGAAATTCTGCATATTGAAGGAGTAATTTTCAGTTGAAGCATCTAGTAAAGACGGTCACTATGCTAACAGAAATGTATGTAACTTAAATTCAACGGTGCAAATGTAAAGGGTACCTATCCAACTTCAATTTACTACTCTTTCATCGAATTACTGGAATTAATTGTATAGATATTGGTACTTCCATCTTCTTGTATAATACTACGGAAAGAGCGTCAATTTCGCATTACGGGTCAAAAATTTCATTAAATGCTCATTTTTTTCGTGATCAGTCACGGTAGGAGAGTGATACTATTTTCGGGACCCAAATAGTAATAGGTGATACTATTTGCGGGACGATGGTCAGGTAATTACATGGTGATTGCCTGAGGCTTGGTAACGTAGCAGAGAACACAAACTGGAGGCTGTTGTGGGTCTCTTTAGAAGGAGATTTTATTTCACCATTTACACGTGGGCAGCTTATAGTGTAAAGTACTATAGAGGTTCACTATTAACCACTTTTAATCGAAATAGAATTTATATTTTTAATCGAAATCGAATTTATATTTTATAAAACCCCTCACAGATTGCTAACATGATTTTTTTTGTTAAAATATAACATTTAATTCACCCTTGATGCACTTGTAACCGATTATCTCTAATGACTTGCTTATCAGCGTGTATGTGCCTGTGACGACAGCGTTGAAGTCTCCCCGGCATCCGTTGACCGGTCAAGGTCTTCTTCCAACTCTCCCGCGCTGCGCAAACGTTCGAACTTTACGTCTTATTTGAAGAGAGATCTTAGCTTGCCGCTTGGATGCTGGAGGAAACTAGGAAGAATTCGTGCTAAAGTTGAGAGGGGAAATTAGGACCAGGTCTGGTTGTAAGAGCATGTTTGCGGACATTCTCACTATCGATTTTTTACCACTTTAGTATTATAAATTTGAGTATAGGAATCATTTTGCTTATCATCACTATGGTACTGTATTATGTTGCACACGTTTTAATTGTAGTTGTTTTTAAACAAAACGTGATGTTTTTCTTTCCCTCAGAAAATGCCGTTCATGATTTAAAACAAAAATTTCCCGTTCATTATAGTTTGAAACGTCAACTATTTGTTCCTCTGATACTTGCCTTGTTGTATATATGCAAAATAATACCTATATAAGAAGGCAGTCCCACTGAATGACTGGTGCCGCCACTTTCATAAGTGATGGCGGGGCGGTTTTTGCGCTAGGTTTTTTCGGAGCATGTGAGGCCGAGTCGATGTGCCCAAGCGTTTTTTATTGCACAGCTACAACCTTTCTCTGCCGTGTTTTGTATTCACCAACGGTTCACATTGACTTCTTCTCCGCATGGATTCGTTAAGGAAATTACCTTAAATCGAACAGTGCTTAGATGCAGAAACGTACCCGTGGGTATTCTTTTACAATTTTATTGTAAATTTTTCAGTTGTCTCAATAAACCAATTCGGAATCATCGCTTTGCATCACGATACGAGTAGGTACAAAACAATCCGCCGTGACCACACCTACACCTAATGGGTCGATTCAATTTCTATTCTAACCTTACGGCGGCCGGTGGACCAAAGGCGCCTTCATAGCCAACATGGACACAGTTTGGTTTCTTACTCGTGAATCTATGAGTCAGACATCATGGGCCGTCAAAGTAAACGCGCTTCAGGAATAAAACGTGTCAGTGATATGGATATCACTGTATAAAACGTCCGCCAGTTCCTGGTTACAAATTATATAAATTGTTCTCTTAGCAAATTTGGGCCAAGTTTAAAAAGCGATGTTTCTATTTCAGTTTCTTGTGACGCCATTAAGTTCGATTATTGTAACAGGGTTGAATCTTTCAATTAACAGGGGTTGAAAGATGGTAGCATAATTATAATTCCTGTTCACGTCTAAAGCATAAATATCTAAATTAAAATATTTCACACAACTGCGACACTTATAAAGACGCTTTTGTGCAAGTATGAACGTTTTGGAACGATAATGCAACGTCTTACATTGTTATTCTTGAATGTTGTAGCAAGAACCACGTCGAATTGTTGCATAATATCATACAAATATCGCAGCAAGGACAAAGTTATTTAGTTGCATGACATAAAAAAGTTGCAGCAAGAATAAAGTTAATTTCTTGAGTAACAATATAATCCTATCCTCGATTTTGCCGCCTGCCTTGCATGATGGCCAAATTGCTTTTTGTATCGATTATAATTCCAACCGCATCTGCGTTTTCGCCTTGAGATCTCAAAACCCGCCATGAAGCTCATTATTCGTTGCCACATCAATACATTTTATTTGCCGCTGATTACCGGAAGTCGTTCAATGCTTTCCACCGGATGCTGAAGTCTCGGCTCTTCAGGATGTTGAAGTCGATGTTAAAAATGGTGGATTATCTTTTTGTCTATGGATACATAAACCTTCCAATTTTTCCTATTGTGTAGATATCTGAAGGCCTGGTGATCTGAGTTATTTTCAGCTGGCGAAATGTTAAGCTACCTTTCATTTGTTAGCCAACATTGCACTATATGGTGTTAATACATCCTATACGATACCGCATAGTCCTTGATTGAAAAAAAATATTCAATTCACGTTTATTACTCCATCAGGTTGATTGCGTATTCAAGATGCACCCGATTCTGTCCGGTCTATGGTTGGCTCAATTATCATCCCGATAATTATGTTCCATGAAATGGATGCACGTATTTTTTATCTATGGATACACATATCTAGTGTACCAACTTCTCTGATTTTGAAACTATTCGCGACCAAATTTTCGGCACAATTCTGCAGCTGACTCCTAGTATATTCACATAACTAATTCACAATTCGATAAGATTCAGAAGTCACTTAACGTATCGGAACAAACTCAACCTACATGTCAACAAGATTCAGACGCTTGCCCCCGTATTTTTTATAACCAATCCCCTTTCGTCAAAGTTAGGTGCTGGCCCCGTTTTCCGAAAAAAAATCGTACCTTAGACAAAAATCAGGTGCCGTCCCATTATTCAAAATAACATGATCCGCAGTCCGCACGTTAGATAACATCCAGAAGCCGGCCCCCGTATTCTCAAGATCCCCTCTCGTACCTACGTTGGCTAAGTTCTGGAGTCGGCCCTCGTATCCATAAAGCCCTCTCTCGTACGTACGTCGACTAGATTCAGTACTCAGCCTCCGTATTCAAAGAACTTCCCCTGTTCATCGACGATATTCTTTAGCCGGCCTTCGTATCCAAAAAAGCTTATTTAACTGTACGTAGGAGTTGAAAAACAATTAATCAACAGCCGGGCCAGAAGTATATTCAGAAGCCGGGCCCCCAAGTATAAGTTTACTTAGCACACGTTGAGGTAAAAGGGGAGAAGCGAAATCTCAGCGCTGACCTTCTTCTCGTGTTGCCCAGAAAGTGAAAGTGACTCGCGCTCTTGTTGGTGAGCAGACGTACTGTAGCAGCAAGAATGCTTGCCTTACGTATGGGGCATTGAAATCCAGAACGATATAGGTTACTGCCCCGTTAACTGTTAATTACACCTTGTAAAATTAACTCGCAATCTACTCACATTTCAAAAATATAATGATAGCCTATAAAACATTATTTATAAAAGTGTTTCGAAACAAAATCAGCGGCTAACAACCAAGACTGTGTGCATTCGAGGTATCACCATCGCAGGCTGTTTCGTCATGTGGTGACATCATTTCGTAGCGAGCGCCGCTCCATCTATTTTTACTTTTCGCACTCTGAGATTATTTTAGATACTAGTAAATGATTCATTCATTTGTGGACGTTACGATCCAGGATTCTATTATGCATAGGTACCTAACTGAGTAATTGCAATGGAATCAGGTTTCTTACAGAATTTAACCTCTGAAGTGGTGAAATTATAGAATGAGGTCTACTCCCCGTCTAAGATTTGCAATACCGTATTGTTCATAAAAACTCAAAATTTCTATCTTATCATCTCGTGACGTTTTTCTAGAAAGTATATGTGACAGCATTTGTTGCCGCATTTAAGCCGATGTTCACGTCAAATTGAGAAATCCGAAAGTAACCGTTGAAGATTGCCGTATATTTGTGGTGCTAATTCGTTTTTGTTAGCATGCGAAAGTGGCTTGCTGAATTTCAGCTTCTGCGGTACAAGTTTCTATTATGAGCAAGGCTTTGTTAGACAATTTGGATTTGGAAAATGACATTAATTGATTGATGATATCATATCTTTACTGAATAATTGAAAAGCACGTTCTTGTGCTCAAGAATAATTCACTTTTTATCTTCAGAATTCTCAGTATCTTTGGACTTTTAGTCATTCTCAAACCTTATCATTCTTAGATTCTGATTAATCATACTTTAAACCATCCTTCTAACATTCCTGTTCTTTGCAGTGTACCTCTTACAGCGAGTCCTGCTGTTCCACAAGCTGCGGCTTTGGCTCTATTGGCTCGGCGTGGTTGTTGTCAGGAAGTTCGTGGCTGGCGGCTTTTGTACAAGCGATGAGCGGCTTAACGGTTACACCATCATCATCACCGGCGCTGACTCGGGCATCGGCAAGGAAGTCGCCAAGGAACTCACCCTTAGAGGTGAGTCTTGATGCTCACCATCGTCACCTTCACAGGTGAGTCTTGATGCATACCATCGTCACTTTCAGAGAAGAGTCTTGATGCATTCCATCGTCACCTTCAGATGTGAGTCTTGGTGCATTCCATCGTCACCTTCAGAGGTGAGTCTTGAGATGCATACCATCGTCACCTTCAGAGGCGAGTCTTGATGCATACCATCGTCACCTTCAGAGGTGAGTCTTGATGCATTCCATCGTCACCTTCAGAGGTGAGTCTTGAGATGCATACCATCGTCACCTTCAGAGGTGAGTCTTGATGCATACCATCGTCACCTTCAGATGTGAGTCTTGATGCATTCCATCGTCACCTTCAGAGGTGAGTCTTGATGCGTACCATCGTCACCTTCAGAGGTGAGTCATGATGCGTTCCGTCGTCACCTTCAAAGGTGAGTCTTGATGCGTACCGTCGTCACCTACAGAGGTGAGTCTTGATGCATGCCATCGTCACCTTCAGAGGTGAGTCTTGATGCATAACATTGGACACGATGGCAATGGTGCAGATTTGTATGACTGGAAGGACTGGGTGCTGATTTGTACCATTGGTACATACGCGAATTCGAAATTTAATTTTTAGGCACTGGTTGCAGCAGATGTGTACTGTGGTAAGTTCTGAATTTTACTTGAAGTATACGCATGCACTGTATTGTTGTATACATGCATATGCATGTACTGATGTGTACTTTATAATGTGCGTGTTGAAGCTTGCATTGGAGCACAATACTGATGTCTTCCCTGAATTTTATAATATGCATCCATAAATTCTTCTGCTGACTAATAAATACGTTGACTAGGAGAAAAAAGAACCGAATGTAAACAGTTATTAATTTAACGGTCTTTTTATCCCAAAAATATACATGTAAACAATTTGCAGGCGCGCACCTGGTGCTGGCAAGTCGCGACACGGAGAAGGCGGAGGCGACGAAGAAGGAGCTGATGGCCATCAAGGGCTCCGTGGAAGTGCGGCACTGCGACCTCTCGAGTCTGGAGTCGGTGCGGGCTTTTGCTCAGGGCATCATCGAGCACAAGTACCATGTGCACATGCTCATCAACATTGCCGGTCAGGAACTTGTTCAACCCTTTTGCTTTTGGTACGGCCGTAAGGCCTTTGATACGGCCGGAAGGCCTTTGGTACGGCCGTAAGGCATTTGGTACGGCCGTAAGGCATTTGGTACGGCCGTAAGGATTTTGGTACAGCCGTAAGGCCTTTAGTACGCTCGTAAAAGCTTTGGTACGGCAATAAGTTGCCGTACTGAGGACTTTGGTACGGCACAAAGTACGTACACGCTGGGGCCTTTAGTACGGCACTAAGTTGCCGCGCTGAGGCCTTTAGTACGGCACTAAAATGCCTTGCTTAGGCCTTTGGTACGGCGCTAAGTTTGCTGAGGCCTTTGGTACGGCGCTAAGTTACCTTGCTGAGGCCTTTGGTACGGCGATAAGTTACCTTGCTGAGGCCTTTGGTACGGCGCTAAGTTGCCTTGCTTAGGCCTTTGGTACGGCGCTAAGTTGCCTTGCTTAGGCCATTGGTACGGCGCTAAGTTGCCTTGCTTAGGCCATTGGTACGGCGCTAAGTTGCCTTGCTTAGGCCATTGGTACGGCGCTAAGTTGCCTTGCTGAGGCTTTCGGCACGGCGCTAAGTTTTCTGAGGACTTGGTACAGCGCTAAGTTTCCTTGCTGAGGCTTTTGGTACGGCGCTAAGTTTGCTGAGGCCTTTGGTACGGCGCTAAATTTCCTTGTTGAGGCCTTTGGTACGGCGCTAAGTTTGCTGAGGCCTTTGGTACGGCGCTAAGTTTCCTTGCTGAGGCCTTTGGTACGGCGCTAAGTTTCCTTGCTGAGGCCTTTAGTACGGCACTAAGTTACCGCGCTGAGGCCTTTAGTACGGCACTAAGTTACCGCGCTGAGGCCTTTAGTACGGCGCTAAGTTACCGCGCTGAGGCCTTTAGTACGGCGCTAAGTTACCGCGCTGAGGCCTTTAGTACGGCGCTAAGTTGTCGCGCTGAGGCCTGCGGTAGAGCGGGGGTGAATTACAAACTGGATATATTTGACCTAATTAATTGCCATCATTAATTTAGCAATTTACCAATTTCTCAGACAGTGAATATGATAGAGCAGGAAATGACGAATTACGAAATGTTTGTGAGTATTCAACCCTTAGGCAAATGACGTTGCTTACGACAACGTTGTATACGAGTTGATTTCTTTGAAACGCCGTTCAAACAACATAATTTCATCGTCAAATATCTGTTGGGAGTGCAGGTGATGAACAAGTTGCGTAATGTAGGTGAGTATGCCAGTGATGGTGATGGTAATGATTCCTTTGACGGATGGCTCGGCATGACTCAGCGGTAACCCTCATCGCTTCTTCCCCTTTGCGAAAGCGTCTATGCAGACCTTCATAAATTGCTTCGTCACCAAACTAAAATTGATACATGACAATAGCACTGACCAATAAACAAACATTTGATGCTCAACATTCATGGGCTGGAAAGGATACCTTAATTGCTTGGTTCTTGTATCAAAATAATAAAGTTTTATACAACAATTTTAATTACTATAATGATGGCAATAAAAACTGATGAGTGGCTTTCAACTTGCTGTAAACTTTTAATTCGAATGCTTAAAATCGTTTCGCATTGCCTGTAATTATTGTTTTTTATATCCTCCCAATAAGTAATGTATTTTGTAATCTCCATCACTGAAGCTGTTTGCACAACGCAGCTAAGCTTGTAGGCAAGGCTTGAGCATGGAGAGAAGGGTCCGAATCCCGGCATGATGTGATAATTTGACGATGTCGTGTTAGCGTAACAGTGGGCAGTACTAACTAGAACTCCTAATAATAGGTCTAATAACAATATAAATATTTAAAATGTCTAATAATATTATATGTAATAATATGAAAGATGTGTGTGCAGGCGAGATGATGTGTCCGTACTCGGAGACGGCGGACGGCCTGGAGCGACAGATGGCAGTGAACCACCTGGGCCACTTCCTGCTCACCAACCTCCTGCTGCCGTGGCTCACTCATGACCGTCCCGCCAGAGTCATCAACGTCTCCGCCTCCGCTCATATTGGTCTGAATTATACACTACTATTATAAATCAAATAACTATAGTAATTTATTTGATTTTTCTTTGGACTGTATAAAGCATATATTGTATAACTATAGTAATTTATTTGTTTATTCTTTGTAATTACTTTATGAATTATAACTATAGTAATTTATTTGTTTTTTCTTTGGACTTTTTAAAAAATATAACTATAGTAATTTATTTGCTTTTTCTTTGTACTTGATGAATTTTCAGATACGATTATTCAGATACTTTGTTCTTTGTGATTTATTTATTATTAGTCCTCTCACTCCTTTGAATCAATTAAGAATTTGTTTGTGTTGTATATGTAATTACAGGCTTGGAAATTAACCGAGTTCTTTGTTGGTATTATTCTGCCCGTGAAGTTTGATCATTGCTGTTGTGTTGTCTTGTTTACATAACTTATGTATATTGTACTGCTCTTGATTGTATGCAAGATATTCGTGACTTTTTGGTTAAACTCAAATTCATTCACAAAATTTGTGAAGCATTCTTCCAAGTCCCAACGCGAAGAAAATAAAAATGTAGGTTCTTGTTCTTGAAATAAAAATGTAGATACTTAAATTTCAGGTTCGCGATCACGAATCCCATGCATTCTGATCAATTATGCTTGAAATAACTCCTCAAATGCCATTTTAGGAAATTGATTCTTGCTGGTCACACGATTCTTAGAGCTTAATTCAATTTAATTTAATTATTTTATGCAATTTCGTGACTTATAGCTTGACGCAGGTACTGTTCGTGTTCCTTGATCGCGTTCGTATTTTTATATGTGCAACACAACGTGCAATACATAACTATAATAGCAACAGTCTGTATAAACAACACTAAACGTGTAATACAGATATGCAACCCTCTAGGTTTGTAGCAATACGTCTTTTCAGAAACATTGAACGTTCATTACTTAACTGTATTTGCAATATACTGTATGAGAAACTTGAACGTTCAATATTTAACTGTGTTTGCAATATACTGTATGAGAAACTTGAACGTTCAATACTTAACTGTATTTACAATATTCTGTATGAGAAACTTGAACGTTCAATACTTAGCAAACTCTGTATTGGCCATAATCGAAGTAGGTATGCCTGCATGTTGTTGCTGCCTATGTTGCACAGGAGGAGAGATCCCGTTCGGTGACTTCAACTACAAGTCTCAGGAGTACAGCGCGTGGAAGGCGTACTGCAACAGCAAGCTCGCTACTGTCCTCTTCACCAGAAAACTCGCCCAGAAACTCAAAGGTTGGAGATAAATTACGGAAACGTTTTATTCGTTTTCCAAATTAACTAGCCTGTTATGGCAAATATATGGATAAAAGGATCGCCATATGTAATGACATACATGGGATTTATTTCTTTCTAGTGTCCAACACAGGTTTGCAAACGATCAAGTTCTGTCATGAGAGCGGCATGTTGCTTAAATTGGTGCACTTATCGTACATCCTACCGTGTATAAGAGAAGATACTAGTATTATCGTTTTTCAACATACTAGTATTATCGTTCTACTCGTATTATCGTTTTTCAACATACTAGTATTATCGTTCTACTGGTATTATCGTTTTTCAACATACTAGTATTATCGACTAATACAGCTACTACTACAGGTAACTAATATAGTTACTACTGCAGGGAACTAATACAGCTACTACTACAGGTAACTAATATAGTTACTACTGCACGCAACTAATATAGTCACTACTGCACGTAACTAATATAGTTACTACTGTAGGTAACTACTACCGGTAAAGTGTGCGCGAATCCATTTATAAATGGTGCAACGAGTTGCCCACCTTCAAGTAACGAGTTGCCCACACCAAGAATGCGTGGTGCCTCAAACGTGGATTTTCTCAACAGATACATGAGGGCCATAAATATTTACGACGGTACATGATCCGCTGAAAACCGTATATATACTTGTGATGTTTTTTTATCTCTCTCTTTTGATATTTTTATCTCTCTCTCTCTCTCTCTCTCTTGTGATATTTTTGATCAATCTCTCTTGTGATATTTTTGATCAATCTCTTTTCTGATATTTTTGATCACTCTCTTTTGTGATATTTTTCATCACTCTCCCGTGTGATATTTTTGATCTCTCTCTCGTGTGATATTTTTCATCACTCTCCCGTGTGATATTTTTGATCACTCTCTCGTGTGATATTTTTGATCACTCTCTTTTGCGATATTTTTGATCACTCTCCCGTGTGATATTTTTGATCACTCTCTTTTGCGATATTTTTGATCACTCTCTCGTGTGATATTTTTCATCACTCTCTTTTGTGATATTTTTCATCACTCCCGCTCTGCTATTTTTGATCTCTGAATGAAACATTTTCAATTTATCATGTTTGATATTCAGGGACAGCAAAGCTGCATTACCTGCTATGGTACCCAGATAATCGTTGAGATAATTCAATCCTCAGTTACGCATCAGCTTCGACAATTGCTTCACTTCCCTCAAACCCTGCATCAAACGTATACCCTGTATCATATGTATAAGAAGGTATCCTTGTATCTCTTTATGACTTATCATAAACTTTTTTGTGCATTAAAAGCAAAGAAAACACCAAGCAAATTCACCATATCGATATTGAAAACGTTTCAGAGTCCAGCTCCATCATCAGTTCGAAAAACTAAAAATGAATAAAATCATATTTAATTCATTTTATTAGAAACGTTTTCAATATCGATATGGAGAATTTGCCTGGTGTTTTCTTTGCTTTTAAATTCCTTGTGAACTTGCGATATAAGCAGAAAGATAATATAAGTTTTTGTGCGTTACAGTGAATGCAGCACTGGCTGGCCGAGCGACGAAGCGATGGACGACAAACTCGCTGATCGTCTCTGGAAAGAGTCGCAGAAGCTGGTCGGGCTCGCCAAATGAACCTTATGCTTAAGACGTCGTCTACGGATGCAAACCTAACCTATAGAGAAATATGTTTATGTACGTTAATGGAGGGCAAGGAAGACAACTCAATGATCAGTCGGTTTTCTACTAGGCAAATTTTCATGAAGCTATTCTCATAATTTCTTCCGCTCCTCTATTTTTTGGTACAGTTTAGCTTTAGGATTAACGTATCGAATGTTACTCAATAATGGATGTTTCGAGTGTGCGTAATTGTTAGTTAATAACAATTATTACGTTATAATACAATTATTTGTATTATTATTATTACTGTAATAAGAGTGATGCTAGAGAGCTTGACCGTCTTAGCTGGTGGACTTCTGAGAACTATCATGGTTCGTGTTGCGTTCAATACAATTTAATATCTCGTTTTCATTTGACCTTATGATGATATGCTTTTGATTTACATGTTTTTATACTTAATTCAAAACTAAATTTCATCTTTTAACGTAGAATGCTTCCGCTTGGTAAGTTGGTTAATCTAACAGGTGTTCTTAACTTGCAGTATTTATATTACTTATTGTAATCTACCGATCAAATAGCTTACAAATTCAGTACATTAAAACTCGTGTCTCATCTAATAACGCAACTTGCGGAATTAATACATGGATATTTTCATACTTTACCTCTGGGTACATACCTCTGAAAGTGCTGTACTGCTTCGTAATCTGCCGGCTAAATTAGGTATTAGCTCTGTTCTAAATGATATTATTTTCTAGTTGATCGATTTGAATTGTTTTCGATGTGAGGTCAAAGAATGAATGCTGTGAGTTCTTTTATATATATTTTTATATAAATATATGTTAAATATATTCTCAGTATTGAATCACTGTTTGTTCTTTCGGCTAAAATAAGCTTCAATACCTAAAAAATCGGTGTTTATGGGGGAGTTTGGCAAGAATTCAATTTCCATAATTATTAAAACCGTAAGATTTATTGTGACTTCTGCATTTTGTTATTTTAATTCAGGTTACTCGTTACAAATTATACAACGGTCTGAAATTCAGTTCAATTTTAAGTTAGATACATTTTGTTACTTGTAACCTTTATTAGTCTTTCCTCTTTTCGTCGATAGAAACGTCAAGTTTAGTTAGTAAAATGTTGACATGACACTAGTAAATGAATCTCTGCCAGCCTCCAGGATATTTTGTAGAACTAGCAAATTTTAGAGTAAGTATTCTTCTTCTATGAAACGGCGAGGCTTGCGTCGTTTATTGCGACCCTTCTTGCGTTTTCTTGTCTTAGGCGCGCGGTTAGCGTCCTCGTAGGCGGCCCTATCGATGAAATCCGAGACTCCCAAGAAGGTGGCGGAATGCGGGACCTGAGGGTGCACGAGGCTCGCTTGGAAGTCGATGGAGTCAACTGGATTGCCAGGAAAGTGGTCGATGGCTACGCCATGTGACCCGAAACTGATCTCTTTAGGAGGTTTTCTGGGAAAACCTCTTAGGTTTGGCCCGGCAAAATGGGGATGAAATTCGTGAGGTGACCCAAAGAAGGATTCTTGAGGTGTCAATGGGTGAACTATAGGAGGTGGAGGTGGTGGTGGCGGTAGGGGTGGATGCCTGGGTCTGAATCCATGAAAGCCATCTATATTGGGGTGCGTTTCAATCAAGTTAACGGAAGGGAAGTGCGATCTCGGGAGAGCTTGGTCACCTTCGCCGCTATTTTTCTTCTTCTTCTTACGTCTTCTCTTAGGTTTGGTATTGGAAGGGCTTGGAGTGGAAAGGGTTTTCGATAAATCAGTTTCATCTACCAAAAAATTGTCAGTGTTCACAGAATCATGTAGAGAATGTGATATTTGAGACGAATCCGATTTGGTTGTAACTTGCACGCCACCGGAAGATGGACTTCCAAAGTCGCTATCGAAAAGATTAGTTCGACCTCTAGAATTTACCGCGAGATTTGACCTGCTCCTATCACTGTCGAGTGAAGAGTATGATGAAGTAACAGGAGGACCATTATTGTGAGATGGTATAGCTGTTGTTGAGAACGATGATACAGCCCCTCCGGAATCAATTGGGTTAGGCCGACCACGATGAGGGGAATGCAGGTGATGGATGAACGGAGGAGGGAAACTTGGTGATGGGGGTGGACCAAATCCTCCAGGATGTGGCGGAGGAAAATCACCCGGCCCCCCAGCTCGAGTGAACGGTGTAGTTGGGAAGATGGGAGAGTGAGGACCAAATGGAGTAGAAGACCCAAAGAATGGAGGCGTGATCGGTCGTGGTGGAGTTGGGGTTGGTGAATGTAATGGATCTAGAGTCGTAGGACGAGATCTATTGCCAGGTCGCCTTTTTCGAGAGTTGGGGTGGCTTGAAGGATCTCGTTCCAATGGTGGAGAACCAATTCCATCCCTCAAGCGTCTCGATGGAGTCCCGCGAGTTTGGCTGAACGGGCGAGCAGTCGTTCGAATGGGTGATGGAGTCGTTGGGAAAGGAGAAGTTGGAAACAATGAACTAGCTGTCGTAAATTCAGATCTTTGTCGTGTGAATGGAGGAAGAGATGAAGGTGTTCGAAGACGTGGGATCAAGCCAATGGCACTAAGAATTTCCGGAAGTGGGGTAGTTGATACATAAACAGTTGAGTTTATGAAGACTGGGGAACGATGTGGGCCTAGTGCCGTGATGCTCACATCGTCTCCCAGATCAGGGTGCAGGCTATCGCGCCCGCGTATCAAATCTTGAGCTTGATTGTTACCGAACGCGATTGCTGTAACAGTTGGGCCTGGCTCAAATGAAGGAACAGTTACTGGTCTAATTCTGTTTCTCCTAGTGGGGGCTTTAAACGATACAGGCTTGGGTGTTAAAGGAACTGGAGTACCTTTTGAAGAATTTGGAGCAAAAGTAGAGCTTCTGAAACCAGAAGCCGAACCAGTGGATCCAGGCGTCTCATAACTGGAAACCGTGGTTCCAGTGGGAGTCCCATAATCTGTAGAAGGAGTTGAAGGAGCCCCATATTCTCCTGAAGGCGGAGAAGGTGCCCCGTACTCTCCAGAAGGCGTCGAAGGAGCGCCATATTCTCCGGAAGGTGTCACTGGTGGTCCATACGTGTCACTGGGAAGATTAGGTGCTCCGTATTTGCTAGAAGGTGAACTTGGGGCATCATATCCACCCGATGGGGTTGTTACCGGAGGGCCGTATTCCCCAGCTGGGGTCGAGTTCGGAGGACCATAATTTGGTGACGGTGAGTTATCAGGAGTTCCGTACGTATTTGCTGGTGGATCTACTGAACTTCCTCCGTAACCAGTAAAAGGTGTGGTTCCTTGAACATTTCCACCAAATTGATCCGAGGTTGGTAATGTTGAACCCTCCTGCCCATCGTTGTTATATCCTGGAGTCGAAGTCGGAGTAAATTGAGTAGGAAATGGAGTAGTATTGAATGTAAAAGGATTATTAGTTGATGGTTGGTTACCTTGGCCTCCAGCAAATGATGGAGTAGTGCCTCCAAATACTCCTTGGTTGCTACCAGGATTGTAATCTGGTCCAAATGAGGATCCTCCTCCACCTTGGTTCGTAGTAAAGAAAGGCGGGGAGTTGGTGACAAAAGTTCCACCATTGTTGTTGAAATTATTATTATCGTTGTTGTTGAAGTTATTGTTTCCGTTGTTCAGGTTATTGTTGCCAATGTTGAAGTTATTGTTGCTGTTCAAGTTATTATTTCCATTGTTAAAGTTATTGTTGTTGAAGCTGTTATCATTTCCATTATTGTTGGTGAATTGATTAGGATTTATAAAGTTTGAAGTATCGCCATTTCCGTTATTTTGCCGAAAAATAGTGGCACCATCGGCCCTAACCTGGCCTCCTCCATTATTGTTCTTATTCAGTTCTGTCAGAAGGCCACCGAATGAGTGAATATTTTCATTATTATTCAAATTATTCAGATTTCCATTATGAGTAATGACATTGCCATTGGAAACTGTGCCCAGGATATGCGACTGGACGTTGCTGCCTAGAGTGTTTGTGTGGATGATGTGGTGATTGTTAAGATTTGGGGGGAAGATAGGGTCTTGGCTCAGGATGATAGACGGTCTCTTGATGATTACTGGTTGATTGCCCAACGTGATGGACGGGACATTTTGCCCGTTGAAATTTGAAACAACCTGGCCTACTGAGTTGCTGTTCAGATCGTTCCTTAGCAACTGTCCTTGGTTTCCGATGAGATTGTTTCCTCCGTTAGAGATCCCATGGCTGATGTCACCGTCATGTTTAATGAAGATGCTGTTTTGGCCGAAATTTTGAGGGCTGGCAGTGCTTATGGTGATCACTGAACCTCCGAGGCCATTGTTGTGGTTAAAATTATTGTTCGTATTCCCGAAATTCGGGTTTGTAACTCCTGCATTGACGTTTCCAAAACCATTGATTATGGCATGAGAGTTGTCCGAATTGATTATACCCGAATTTCCTAAATTGGGATTATTGCCAAAAGGGCTTCCGAAAGAGTTTTGATTATCGTTGCTGTTGCCCCATACGACCTGACTGTTACCAGAATTGCTGTTGCCTAAAATTCCGTTGTTGACTGAATTTCCGTGATTACTAACGCCGTTTAAGTTATTTGTGCCACCAAAGTTGCCATTAGCACCGAAATTGTTGTTCCCGCTGGCGGTGATTGTGGTGAAGGGAATTCCTGGGGCAGGAGTGTGACTGTGACTGAGAATTTGTCCGTTGCTATTGGTTTCGATAATAGTCACTCCGCCGGCTAACAGTTGCCCGTTCCCGAAATTGTTTACATTGTGACCGTTACCGGTGCCAAAATTTTTGTTGCCACTGATCCCTAAAGCATTATTGTTGCTACCGCCGTTCCCGTTGAATACATTCAAATTAGAATTTAACGCCCCTTGGCCCTGGACACTGAAAGAATTTCCGTTCGAGTCGGCTATGAATTGACGGTCACCGTTGAAATTATTTATACCTCCATTATTTTTGTTGAATATATCTTCGTGAAGCTGACTCCTAAAAGTGTTCTGGCCGTGTACGGAGTTGTCAACTGATGATGATGAATCTTCTGGGACGTTGTTAGAGTTTGAACCCTTTTGGGTATTTTGTTGATTAATGTTTTTGTTTCCAAGGCTTCCATTTACAGAAGCGTGAAAAATATTGTGGTTCTTGTTTCGTAGGTTAATGGCGTTGTTTCCATTATTTAAGTTGTTTTGAATGTTATTTTGTCCCAAACTTCCTCCGTTGCCAGCTGTTCCCTGTCCTCTAAAGCTATTAATTATATTAGATGATCCAGTTCCTGAAAATCCATTGTTGAAAGAAATGGACCCAGTGCCGAGTGTCCCAGAAGCGTGGAAAATGTTTCGTCCAGTAGAATGTCCGTCTGTAAGTTCGAATTCCGGAATATTAGGAAATAAAGACTGTTTTTTTGATGTCTGGGCATCAAATTCATTTGATTTCGGTGTGGTGAATAAGATAATTGGTTCACTTCTCCCTCTCCAGTCTTCATTTGGATTTTCGCCATCATCAACTGATATTTCATTCTGTGTACTATCAACTTCAACTCCGAAAATACCAGGGAAAGCTGATTCGAGGGAAAATGCAGGCGTGGTAGGGGCTTTTGTTGTCGACCGAGGCGATAAATCGATGTTGGGGATGTCAGGGAAAAGTGATGGAACTGGAGACGTGGGAGGCGTTCTATGCTCATCGTCATTTGACGACGAAGACAATATTTGCGAAGGAGATTCTATGAAGATTGGTGACCTGGATGTTCCAAAAACAGGGCCCGGAGGTGTCACAAGAATTGCTCCTTTTTTTGAAGAACCTGTCTGCTTGAAGAATGAGTCCTGGCTTCGTTGTTTGCCTTTCACGCGATCTTGCGCAACGGCTTTTGGTTTTTCTTCGGGAATATCCGCGTAGTCCTCGAAGTAAGGTTCAGGGCCATCACCTACTGGAGTTGAAGCCTTTTTTCGGATACCCTTTTTGGATTCACCAGATCCAGGTTTGGGATTTTTAATTCCCCTACTTGAAGATATGAGGCTTGCTAACGATATTTTTGCAGGCTTGCCATTTCTTCTCTGGCTTATGACATGGTTACTTGATCGTTCATTAATAATTTTCTGAATTTTAGCTGTTACTGATGTAGAATCTTCTTCCGAATCGTCATTACTTTCCAGAAGGCTGTCAAGATTGTCGCCGTAGTCTTCAATTTTGTGAGATTCTGTATGAATCCTGCAAGTAAAATGAAGCACATTATTAAACGAAATGATTTCTTAGAGTTAGGATTTAACAGGATTCTTATGATACGTACTTTCAACTCAATAATTCTCCTCTGATTTGATTGATTTCCCTTGCCAGTCCCCAAAATACTTAAGGAGAGGAAACAACGCAGATAAGAAGTACAGACAGACCAATTCTATTATTCGTTCATTGAATGTTTAACAAGTCCAGAGGAATTTAAATCGTTTTATATTCACTCGAGTTTAATGGTTTTACTTTCTGGTGGAGAATTGACTCAACATGAAATTTCATCATCTATTAAGTGCCAAGCAAATAACTGTGGCTCATTTTTAGCGCATTTTCTCATTTATGGAAAAAATGCACTATTGTGCTCGCCATGTCCGTCCGTCCGTCCGTCCGTCTGTCTTTCTGTCTGTCCGTCCGTGACTTCGCGTTTTCGTCGACGAGAAAATGCGCTCTCTCTCACTCACTGCAGTGAGTACTGAGTTATATTTTTTACTGTATTCACTACCATTTACTACCACTTAGAAACTGCAATTCCTCATTAATTATATTTCTTGTCCATCGTGGTCGCGATGTGCTCACCTGTTGCCCTGTCCGTCCGTGACGTAGCCGATGATGTGTTCACCTGTTGCCCTGTGCGTCCGTGACGTAGCCGATGATGTGCTCACCTGTTGCCCTGTCCGTCCGTGACGTAGCCGATGATGTGCTCACCTGTTGCCCTGTCCGTCCGTGACGTAGCCGATGATGTGCAGGTCGCCGTTGGCGTCGATGAAGCCGTAATGGCCGCTGACAGAACCATCGTCGTCGCGCCGCTCGTGTCGGAAGTGCTTGGCGCCGCCCTTTGTACCGCGGGTGTCGTAGCCGAACTCGTAGCCGCCCTGGGGTTATAATTTTGTTTTAACCCTCTTCATACTGCACTATTTTGCAACGTTATTATCGTACATAATCTTAGTATATTTCTATTTATGTAATACGAAATGGATCAAAAATGTTTAAATGGATTCTATCGTCAGCGACAACTTTACTCTTATTGAATGTTTGGAATGCGAACTTTCCGCCACAGAATTCGTACCCTCACTTTCGTAGAACAGTTAAAAAGTCATGCTCAGATTCTAGTGTCAATAATAGTTATATTTTAGATGTTTCTTTGTGTCACGTACTTTTCATACCCGATCTTTTATTTGCTTTGCCGTCCAAATGTGGGGTTGCAATAGCTTACTTAACTTCTGCAGTCAATTTTATTTTGTCGCAAGTTTGTATTTTGCATTTCATTTCAAATCGTTACAGCAGAATAGTTTGAACATCAATTTTAAACTATTGTATTATTTCCCGAAACATAATCATGGGATTATTATCGACAGTCACGGAAAATCCCAGCGTCCTTCTTCAAGAATATTACGACGTTTTTACTGCGCGCGTCCAGGCTAGCGATGAAGCAGGCGCGGGCGCCGCGGTTCAGAGCGCAAACTTGGGACGCGCTCGGCCTTGCGCCGCTGTCCCGGTGACACGCCACTGCGCTAGATAGAGCATCACGCTTGCGTTACGCAATGCGTACGAAGCGTACGTGCGTGCGTGTTTCTGGGTCATCTTGAAGATAACGCGAGTTGTAATTATCTGTGGACGCTCCTAATGACGGCTGCAATCGAACGCGAGCGACAAGGACGACTGAATATACCAGTTTGAAATTATCTTTTAATAACTTGAATTTCAAAAGACTGAGCACAAACTTCTAAATTTATTCACGGAAGACACTTCACTGCAATTAGCAGGATCTCAAATGCCCTGAACTTCTTCGTTTCCATTCAACCCCTCTGCAAGTTTCATGATTTTTCGTTTTATTGTTGAAGAGAGCTGCTGCATGTCTTAAATTTGCGTCTCTATTTAATTTAAAAAAATAATTGCCATTGTCCAAATAATGACTCAGTTTCTAACTCAAAGTACGAGCAGTAAGCGCGCTTTGCACCGCTGCGCTATTTTATCGATGAAAACTGGATCAGGATAACTTGAACATGGGCAAATAGTGGACCATTAGTCTCTAATTTTTCTCAATGTTGTTATCGGGTCGATTTCCTGAATCCAAAGTTGCTTGGGTCACTTAAACAACATCCGATTAATAACTCGCCAGGTCAGTTCCTGCGCCAGATCTTGCCAACAAGCCGCGTCTCTTACGAGCAATAAACTGTAAAGGGGTAATGAAATAAACTTATATTGTTTTGCGTTGACGCTTCAATATCGTTGATGGAATGGCCTTGCAATATTTTCTGAATATCATTTCAATTATTATTACAAGACTTCTCTTTAACTTCACTTCTTGTTTGTTTGTCTGTCTGTCTGTCTGCTACAAATCTTAAAATCGATATTTAACACACTTCTACCTGTCCAATCGATCTGAAATTTTGCACACTTGCGTAAAGTTGGAGACAATGCATTAATCAATTTACAGAATAAATAATTTTGTAAATTAATTTTTTTTTTATTATTAAAAAAAATTAAAAAATAATTTCGTCTGCTACAAATCTTATAATACATATATGACACAATTTGACCTGTCCAATTGATCTGAAATTTTGCACAATTGCTTAAAGTCAGAGACAATGCATGAATCAATTGACAGAATAAATAATTTTGAAAATTTACAAAATTTTGATATCTTAAAAAATTTCTGAGAATTAGTTTTTTTCAATATTTGAAAATAAAATTAGGAATTCATTGTACATGTGTAACATCCAGGACACTGAATTTTTCAAAAGTGTTGTCTTTAAAAAGTAATTTTTAAACTCATATTATTTTATATTCTAAGGTATAATATATTTTAGTCTCCTATCGTTTGATCGTGTTCACAAGAAGAAATTGCTTGTGTTCAGTTCAAGACTATAGTAATATGCCCGGTAATTTTTTATTTATTTTATGGTATAATATATTTAAGTCTCCTATCGTTTGATCGCGTTACCTAGAAGATATCGCTTGTGTTCAGTTTAATATTATAGTAATAAGCACAGTAACTTTTATTTTTAATTTTAAGGTATATTATAGTTATGTCTCCTATCGCTTGATCGTGTTCACAAGCAGAAATTGCTTGTGTTCAGTTCAAGACTATAGTAATATGCCCAGCAATTTTTATTTATTCTATCTAGGGTCTAAATATTTAAGTCTGCTATCGATTAATCGCGTCAACTATAAGATATCGCTTGTGTTCAGTTTTTGATTATAGAAATAAGCTCGGTAACTTTTTTTAGATTCTAAAGTATAATATGTTTGTCTCCTAACGTTTGATCGAGTTCACAAGCAGAAATTGCTTGTGTTCAGTTCAAGACTATAGTAATATGCCCGGTATTTTTTTATTTATTCTATGGTATAATATATTTAAGTCTCCTATTGTTTGATCGTGTTAACTAGAAAATATCCCTTGTGTTCAGTTTAAGATTATAGTAATAAGCTCAGTAATTTTTTTATATTCTAGGGTATAATATATTTAAGTCTCCTAACATTTGCTCGTGTTGACAAGCAGAAATTGTTTATGTTCAGTTCAAGACTATAGTGATATGCCCAGTAATTTTTTTATTTATTCTAGAGTATAATATATATAAGTCTCCAATCGCTTGATCGCGTTAACTAGAAAATATCGCTTGTGTTCAGTTTAATATTATAGTAATAAGCTCAGTAACTTTTTTATATTCTAAGGTATAATATATTTAAGTCTCCTATCGTTTGATCGTGTTCACAAGCAGAAATTGCTTGTGTTCAGTTCAAGACTATAGTAGTATGCCCGGTAATTTTTAATTTTTTCTAGGGAATAATATATATAAGTCTCCTATCGTTTGATCGCGTTAACTAGAAGAAATCGTTTGTGTTCAGTTTAAGATTATAATAATAAGCTCAGTAACTTTCTTAAAAGACTTCTCTTTAACTTCACTTCTTGTTTGTTTGTTTGTTTGTTTGTCTGTCTGCTACAAACCTTATAATCGATATTTAACACACTTCTACCTCTCCAATCGATCTGAAATTTGGCACACTTGGGTAAATTTGGAGACAATGCATGATTCAATTGACAGAATAAATAATTGTATAAATTAAAAAAATTTTTTTCACTATTAAAAAAAATTGAAAAATAATTTCGTCTGCTACAAATCTTATAATCCATATATGACACAATTTGACCTGTCCAATTGATCTGAAATTTTGCACAATTGCAAAGTCAGAGACAATGCATGAATAAATTGACAGGATAAATAATTTTGAAAATTTACAACATTTTGATATCTTAAAGAGTTTTGAAAAATAATTTTTCTTTTCAATATTTAAAAATAAAATTAGAAACTCATTGTACATGTGTAACATCCAAGACACTGGATTGTTCAGAAGTGTTGTCTTTAAAAAGTAATTTTTAAACGCATATTATTTTGATATATCCAGGTACCGACGTCATGCATTCGTAGCAATAAAAATCCGTGAAATTCAAGCCTGATGCTCAGCCAGGGAGCGGCGAGCCAGGCGCGTCGCAAGGGCGTCGGGCAGGCGTGACGACGCAGGCCTCTTCAGTTACAACACGCAAAAGACCTCGACACGCGAATGGCACCTGGGCCGTATTGTCAAGAAATTCAAGAGTTTGTTACTACTTCGGTCAATCACTGATGGCATCTCAAGCTAAAACCACCAATCACAGACAAGAAATCGTCCGTTACGTGTGTTAAATCAAGTTTGAAAGTCCGGCCTCGGAGGCTCACAAGCATGTGTGTTGGTTCCAAGTCCTAAAGTAAAAGATAAGTGTTCGTAAAAATGGAGTAATACTACACCTATTAAATTGAGTAAAAATTTCAGAATAGGAATTTAAGTTCTTGGCTTAGTAAGGTTTTTTAGGGTTATTCCTTTTCGGTACAGGTATTGTTAGTTCCAATAACGAAACACTTATCTCACACACCTGCCGTTTGAGTTGAATTATTCAAGATGCGTGATAGTGCTTGAAGCCTCGTGCACAAACCACCATGTTGGCCCAAACACTAAAGGCGCTATCAGATGATGGCAAAATATTATCCCAGTTAATCCATATTTAGGGTTAGGTTCAAGCAAATAACGGCCAGCTGGGTTCACGGGACTCGGCGCGTCGCGAGTCTGGACAGCCGCGGTCAGCGCACCTCCAAGCAAATCACAGCTTATGTGGGTATAAAATTTACGTAGAATGTTGCACGTATTGTGGAAATGTTCACGTAAATTTAGCAAAAAACATTTACGTAATGCTTTGGTTTTTCACATCGAAATGTATCATTGTAACATCAGAGTTCACGATTTGTGAAGTCCATAATAAATATAAGGTTGATTCGCAAACTCGAGTTTTTGAATTTAAGATTGTATAAAAAGTTGGGAAAGGCAAATTTTTGCCGGATTTTTTGGTGGTTCGTAGATTTGGTGGATAATCAAGCTATCGTCATATATCCAACGAAAAACCAAAATACTCAACTAATTTGGAAAAAGTGTTGCACACAAATGGTTCAGGATCAAGAGAATCATATTTGGAGGTCATTCATTAAACTTCAAACGGTCAAACCTCTATCAAAATTACAAGTCGTTTTTAAACTTCATAACTATTTAAAATGAACTAATCCTCAACACTTATTTTTAGGAACTTGAATCCTGTTTCTAGTGATCGAGAGGGAAGAACTGAAAAAGCAAACTCAATTTTTCATTCATGTCTTGCTTTAGGCAGTATAGCGATCAGATGGGAAAACTAAAAACCTTCGAAAAACAATCAATTTTAAATTTTATTTCTAAATACGCATTTTAGGTTTAACAAAATTGGATACTGCATTAAATGGCCACTAATTTTTTTATATGACCATTGATTTCCATCATCACTCATCAAGTCGCAAGCGTCCACGTCATATCGCGATTAATATCCGTCCTAAAACGTAAACATATACGGAGGAACGGCGCAGCCTTCACGCACGACTCTTCTCTGTTAACCATTAAATTTAAGACAGTTATCACACTCATCACGAAGGTTATATTACGTAAATATTGACCACAAATTTCGCTGCCTAAACCTCCTGCTACTTTTCGCATGCTCGATTGGCGGCAGTACATCCATCGATCTCAATAAGCATCGAATTTCCCATGCTTAAAACCCATATGCGCACTGGAATAGAAGGTTACGTCTGCACCTTGCGTCTGATGAAGCATATCACGACTAATCTATTAAGGTAATTTAGTCTTACTGTGACTTATGAATTTGTTTCCAGACGAACGACTTCTTTGCTAGAGTGACTTGGAATTGTAGCATAGAATTTCACATTATAGAGAATGAAATTGAACGTGGACAGTTCGCGGAAATCTTTTTCCTTTCAAGCTTAAAGACATCGTTTGTTTCCGGTTTCATTTGAAAATGTTTTTCATCAACTAGGAGCTTATAGTATATTAGTGCCAGCGCTAAAGAATAGACCGAGTTTGGACTGTCGGATTCAATGTATGCTATTTCAGATAAAAGTGTGCATTGAAAGACGACTCGCATTTGTGAAAATGGTACATGGTATGGTGAAAATGATGCAACGTGCATGGGTGGAAATGATATAAGGTGTAGGTGAAAAAATGCAACGACTTTCGTTAAAAATTTCAGCACCAAACTATAAAAAAATGTTACTCAGGACTCACTGCTGTGAGTGAAAGAGAGCGTATTTTCTCGTCGACGAAATCATGAAATCGCGGACGGACGGACGGACGGACATGGCGAGCACAATAGTGCCTTTTTTCCATAAATGAGAAAATGCGCTAAAAATACCTAAACATAACTGTGGCTCATCTTGCGACAACCATGATGCATTTTTGCACATTTCGCTCATGTGTGAGTCACCCTGACCCACATTGTCCCGACAAAAGGGCGCTTAAGTGTTACGTCCACTCTCTGCTCGTGCTGTGGGTAAGATTCGCTACTTAAGAAGCGCCTTAATATTTTAACTATAAGACCCTTACATTTTTCTGAGTGCCACTTGATAGTAGCCACAACCTGCCTGTGCACGCACTGAACGCACGCACGCACACTGCGTGATGTTCACGCAGGATTATTAACTTCACGCTTGGTCACGCACATTCGTAGACCGTCACGCTGCAGCCACGCATGCGCACGGTCGTATGTTAAGGTGGACTCGACTTACGCGGTCGTAACGATTACAGCGACTCATGCGTAAGACACGCGTTCGTGATACGTAATTCTTGTGAATTACTTTGAGGATTTGATTTGACAAGTTTATATGTTTAATTAAGATACTTGAAATAAAGGGAATTTTGTGCATCCTTTTAAAAAATGGTCTGTTTTGTTACGGCTGAAACTAGCGGTAATTTTTATATTATAAAGGAACGCATAAAGCAGGAACTGATTTTACAAATTATTTTCTGAATTTAAATAGAGTTATGTTTGAAACTTATTTTATTTGTAAAAAATGGACTGTTTTAATGTGGTTCGTACATATGACACCTTGGTCGTAAAAACGTGATTTTTCAACTTGAATATGAAAAAACTTGAAAAGTTGAAGTAAAGACTGTGGGGTCTTAGCCGATAAAAAATATTCACGCTCTTTTCAAACTAGGAAAATCCTAAATTATTCACGCTCTTCCCAATTTGTCCAATGAGCGATGCACTTCTGCCGTCTGTGGGTCATCCCAACCCAGTTAGGCGTATCAGTGCTACATCCGTTCGCTGCTCGTATATATATGGTGAGAGGCACAAATTTATCCATAGTGTGTAACAATTCCCACAATATAACCCATTGATTTTTCTGAATAAATAAGTGACAGTCATGATAATTTGGACGTCGAATGCAGAGATTTGAACATCGGTAGACGTTATGCAAGATCGCAGGGAGCGAGAGACGACAGCTTAAAGATGGTCCTGGACGTCCTGGACTGCGTAAGACTGCGGTGCTGCAACGCGCAGTTCCGATGTAGTCACCAAGCCGGTCTCCTCTCACGATCAGTGGGAGCGAATGCTATAGGCTCGTACTTACATTTCCTGATATGTAGCTGGGTTAAATATAATATAAATAATCACTTGGCTCTATAAGAAAGAAGAGGTAAGACATCGAATAAAATAATCCATATAAATGCATGAAATAAATGATCGCTATAAAATATTTCCCGTGAAATACATGATGCGGCTCTTTATTTACTCGGCAGCCACGGGACAGACAAATATCCATGATCGATTTCATTGTTATTTTGAATGAGTTTTTTACATTTCAAATCAGAATTTTTATTTAGAATATTCTCCTAGAAATTGTGGCGGGTAACTCGACCATGTATGGCGGAAGATGACCATAGGGAAGGATGGAATTGTGATGCAATTAGAATTGCTGATGGCAATAGCGTTATGCAATGACGTCTGGTGTCACTATTGCTGTGAATGTGCTTACAATATATACTGGGAAAATGATAAATAGGACTTAGTTCCGTTGTAAAAAATGATTTTTTTCAGCACATTTATCATTTTTTTATGTTTATGTCATCAGTTTTTTTTATAAAATGAAAGAATTAAGGCCTCCAGCTGAGAGGTATTTTAGAGATAGTAAAATTTTAAAGTAATAAATTTTAAAACTTTACACGTTGAAAGGTGGTCGCATGTTAGTTTTCATCAATGACTTAAATCACGTTAAATACTGTCATCAACAAAAATTACACAGGTTGGCAGCACTGTTAATGAAATAAAATTTAAACAAATTCCAACAATTATTAAGGTCCGTACTATACTTTATTAATAAAAGATTACTTTTTATACTATATTACGAAATTCGATAGATTCGAATAGAATTACCATCTTAATTACTAGTCCGATATCCGACATCTCTTCTTCCGAAATTAAGAATCATTGTGTATCAACTGAAAAATTAGGGAAGATTATATATACAATTGCTCCGAGTGTAAAGATAAATGGATAATTATAATTCATGTAAATGGCAAATTATAATCACGCAGGGCCTTGTTGTTTGTCTTACTCGGGTCAAGGATAAAATTAATACAGATTAAATTCCGATCACACTTTTTGAAAACACCCAATTAGAGATAAGGTATCTCTCAAGCTTATAAATGATTAACTGAGAAAACAAAGACGATAATAAATATCATTAGAAGTCTAAAAATTAATAAATACAATGATGATCCAGTTTAAAGGCAATGCAGCATAGGGGAAAAAATATATAAGTGAAAAAATAATTAAACATTAGTTGAATAAGCCGATGATTTCATTGGAGTTTGATAGAACAGTTGGCGTACATATGCGTGACTTTTAGCTGATCAATAAAAATATTTCCGGCGACTTAAAAAATAAATTTCAAAGTAATCGTTTTATTACTTTTGCTTGTAATTGTCTCAAGTTCATGCTCCTATACATTTGAGTTAAACCATTATCAAAATAACAATAAAGGTTCAGATATTCATTTAGAGCCTAGAAAAATGCACATTTTCTACAACCAACACCAACGAACAGCCTCCCTGATAGCATCGTTGACGCTGCGAGTATGAATGCCTTCAAGAACAGACTAGAGTCCTAGACGAAGCTATGCAGGAGCACATGTATGTTCAGTTTTGAAATGCCTATGTATAGCACCTTGCGAGCCTTACAATAAGTCCAGCAGCTATCTTAATAAATTCGTCAGTTATGGAAAGATCGGGTTCAGAAGGCCGGATCCCTTGTGAATCAAGTCACGAATAGTACAAGAATCGGCAACTGGCAATGGGCCTATTTCTTCAGTTCCAACACTTCTCCTCTATTTGTCGACTTAGGAAATATATTAATTAAGAGTTGAGATAAGCATAAGATACCTTCTTACCTTGCCATTCATGAGCTGGTACTGAAGACCAGCCTCGTGGTTCTCAACAGATGCGGTGCGTCCGCCCTCAGCAGACACGAGCACCACAGGCAGGGCATCCCGCCGGGTCCTATGCACGCGACTTAACCCAAAAACTAGCGGGAAAGCCGCGAGAATGGCGACCAAAACTTGGAGTGACCTCCACCGCCGCCTCATCGCCACTTAAAGTCAAATATTTTAGCACAAAAATGTCAATAAATTCACTGTCACGACTAACTTGATTTGAATAAGAACCAATGGTAACGAGAACGTTTCCCGGTCAAACATGACCATTAAGCCAGGTCTAGTCTGTAGGAGTTCTACAGAGTGTTTTCATTCTCGATAGCACTTGATTGTAAATTGCAACGGAGTTTTCTGACAATGAAGAATAGTGTTACGTATCAATTCGAAAGACAAACTGAATGCTGAAAAAAATGTTGTCTGTTAAAAATTTTAAACCTGCACCAAATAAACAAGGTTTCAACATTATCATTCATAAATGCTAAAGTTCCTTAACAATAATCAAATAGAGCATTTGCTCAATAAAAATCTCTTATTTATTCAATGAATGGAGGTGAAAAGAAACGAAGACACTCCGATGATTCACGATGCTTGAAAATAACACCTGCTAGAGTTACGAGCGCAACTATAGCGTGACCGCACCGAGTCAGCTCCGGGAGTGGAGTGTGGTGAGGGTCCGGCACGCGAGCTTATTTATATACTTGGTGCACGTGCTGAAAGAATACGATGCTGCTGCTCTCTGAATACTTGAGTTATTCATTACGAGCTTGCTATGTACGTAATTTTGTGCTACATTTATTGATTTTACAGTGAGCTTTACAATAAATCTTGAATTGTTCCACGTCTGTTTGATTTTTAAATCTATGTTAAAACTTTCACTGTGTATAGTATCAAGGTATAACTTCGATACAACCATTTATCTATAATTCTTTTTCTAAAAAGCGTGATATTTTCTTTAAGTCAACTTCATTTTATTTTAGGAAGACCGTCTATATTTAATTATATTCACATATTTCAGTTTTTTCCAATTTCTGAGATATATATCTTATGATTGCTCAAGAATGCCGTTGATGTGGTATAAAGATTTACTTTTTTCACAGATGTTGGAACATGATAATTTGGAAATGGTGACTTCGTCAAAACTTCGAGCTTCCCGAAAGTTTAAGTGAAAACAAAGTTTGAGATTTTTATTGCAGTCAAACCCGACGTAACAATTTTCGTGATTTTGATCTATCATAATCTTTACATATTTATTATTGTTGGATTTTAGCGCTAAAACTTATTGCGATACCCTATGGCCTATGTCAACACACACTTAACCAAGTTAGCCTTTAACTTTGTTTTTGGGTATTAGGTGTTACCGACTGTTTGGGTGGTTGAGTGTGAAGTTAGTCACACCCAAAACTCAAAGTATAACAATATAGAAATAACATACGATAGGCTCGGTTTGTGTTAGTAAATGGACGGCATGCACGCCACGACAGAGATGGACCTTGAAGAAGCCTCTCGCGCGCGCCTGCTGAAGATCGAACGTCTTCTTGCGTCACGCGCGTTCTGACTGTCGTCTGCTGAGGTCGCCACTACATGTCACGACATGTTCAATGCACGAGTGACTCAAAGTCGCACTGTTATTTATGTTAATCCTGAAATATCAACTAAGAAGGACAAAATGTTAGACAACAATAATTTTCTAATCATTATTACCAAGAATAAATTACAAGAAACAGGGTTACCTATTAGGAATAGCCGAATAGTACCTGGTATCCAAAATTAGGATATGCCGTTAAAAATATAGGGTACAAATGGAGCAGAAAGTACGTAAAGGCAGATAACACGCCTTCTTCATAAAAAAATGATGCGGTGTAGTGTACAGTAGTGTTAGCTTTGATTAGGTTAAGATGACCTGTCAGTGATTCCTAACCATCTAGCCACCTTGCTAATTTCGACCACAATTTTCAATAGTAGTGACGGGTTTCGAACCTCCTACTCGCTGCTCTTAACTCGTTCGCAACACTCGGCCACTGAGAGCGGCAGTTTATTCAAGTAACAGAATTACCGACGAAAGCCCGAAACTTACCCTCTGCTGAACGTTATCCTCGGTTTAGCCTTCATAACGGGGATGGAAGATGTTGAAGAACGGAGCCTTTGAAGACACGTAGCTAAGATATATAATATATTATCTGTTATGATTAGATATACATATATTATACGGAGCAAATAATCTATATTTTTCGACGAATACAATTACCATATTACGTTTCGTACAGAAAATGCACCTGGTCTCTAATCACAACACTGCATACAATGTAGTTTTAATGGTTATCATTACCGCATTTGAAATCACCAGGTGAATTGGATAAATGGGACGACGATGTGCGAGGGAATTTACAATATCCAAAATTTCAAAATACATTAATGAGGCTCTGATGAACAGCTTGAACATTGAAGAAAAATTCGCGTTTTTGCCCATTTATCTAACTCAAATACCTAGCTACAGAAAAATTTATAGAAGTATCGGTAAAATGATCTATTACAATATCAGAATTTGAGACGAACAATAAAATGTAGAAGTCAAGTCTATTCCGGTTTCGCCGACCACAGCGGCTGGGGCTTGGCGTTGGCTCCTTGGCTTATTTGAGAGTTAAATTAGTGGCTCGCGGCAGCGTTCCCTTTTTAAAAACCGGATGGAACAAAATGACTTGTGTTGATCACACTTTTTCGTGGAAAGTGTGTCGTGCCGTGCTAATCTGACAGCAGACGGTGCCATGCCGCCACAAAACATCCAATAACCGACGGAAGAGCTGTCCCGATCCGAGGTGTTGATCCGGCGGAGTTGCGCGAATAAAGCTTCGTTCTCAGCTTCTCCTGAGCACCGATCAACACTCTTGACGTAACAAGAACTTTTGACTGTCCAGGCTTCACTTGGTGTTAGATCGAATATTTATTTAGACTAGCCAAGTTCAGCGATTTTAGTTTTTTTTTTCCACAACATTCTGTAAACATTTTAATATACGAGGCTCAACTAAAGCCCTTTTTGTTGGGGGGCTACATGCATTTAGCTAAGTATGCTTAGTGGGCAAGGTGGCCCAGTTGTTACAGTTCAGAGTAGTATCAAGATTGGAGCAGAGAGGTGCGGGTTCGATCCCAGCTCTGAGCGTCAGTTTCTGGTCAGAATCGGCAAGGAGGCCGGGCGGCTAAGCACAGCAGAATTGTAGCAGTGAGTTGCGAGTTCGAGACCGCAAAATACTGTGAATGTTCTGCGATGTTAAGGATATGTGACAGGCCTACGGCCTACTAAACGCTGAGACCGCTTTTATTATTATATTATTATATATTATACAGCTTAATAACTGAAATTTCCTGAGATTCAGGTTTAAAAACACAATAATTTTGAATTAATAAAAAGGGAACAAAATTGCAAGGTCCTGCCCCAGTGGAAGGCTGGCTCGTAAAACCCACGGCGTAACTCTATTGATTCCCAGATTTAGTATGTTGTCTAATAGCGGATTTACATTTGATCTCGAACGGACAAAAACTGTGTAGTACTAGGTTGATTGAAACAATGTGCATTTCTCATCTATCTTATTTTCAATACATTGGAATCCATTTCATGGAGTGAAGACCTTGTACTGAGCTCACCGCTCAACAAGGCAACATCAAAATTCAAATTATTGTCAAAAGAGATTCGATTTGAAAAGGAAAGGAAGTAAAATATGGTATTTAGTCGCTTCTTCAATGCACGAGGGACAGTAACGGGGTTAAGCTAGTTTAACTAAACGATGAGACAACAACGTCAGCAGTCAATGACAGTCGGTGGTGCAATGCAAAGTCCCATACACCATCAAATGAAATTTGAATTTCATCAGACGTCTACAATTTTTTTTAAATCTACAGGCAATCAACTCTGATAGTACGAGTAACTCAACGCGATTGAGGTAGCATTTTAAAAGAAGCCGAATGAGGATAAGTTGTGGTGATAAAATCGCCACAACTTATGAAGTTGTGGTGATTTTACGTGCCAAGGCTATTACAAGTCAAAAAAATTAACAGACTCTTTCTAGTTCAACAAGCTAGTCAGATCAAGTTCAACTCGATTCAGTCATAAATGTACGTAAATTCATGTTTTGTTTTCAAACTTAATGCACTTTGAATTTTCTGCAACATTTATGGTGGTGACGCAAAATTCAAATCTTTATTTGAAAAGAAGAACATTCCACATTCTATTCATTCCATGTTCAATTTTGTTTACACAACCCTTAGTCACGCGAGACCTGACCGGTTACAGTTTCAAATAATAGACATAAATGGTGATTTGTGATTACGTGGAAAAAATGTTCCATGGCTGAAGAACCAAACAAAACTCAACTAGCGAAGTCAACTTTTCACTTGCGATGGGATAATAGTTTTCAGGGACCAAGTAGCCAAGAGATGGAAGATCTGGCGAATGTCAGCAAATAATGCAATCAAATTTTTCAGTGAGAAAAATGAAAATGTAAGTAATGTTTCAGGTGAAGATACGTGGCGCATGGTAGCTTTGATGCATGATGGTTGACAAACTCTACAAACACAGACGAGAATGGTAGGATGATTGATTGGAGAAAAGAATCTTAGTAACAACGCCGTAAAGAAAAAAGTTGTAAATGAGACGTTTCTGCTTGATATCGGCCACATTAATCAGCTTACACGTACAGAACTGATACAATTAGCTATGAATTGACATCACACGTGGTGTAAATGGACATATATAACTAGTAATTAAGATAATACGACTAGGATGGTAAAGAATGTTGCCTCACGCTCTTGTCCCAGCCACACGAGAGCAGAGACTTGCTGCTCAGCCACAAAACGTCGCTCACGATGTCCGAGTGTTGGCTTGAGTTTGTGTACCTGTAACAGAAGAAGGGGATGGATAATTCCAATATTTATATATACATATAGTCTATGCTCCTGCACCGACAATAAGAAATGATAATAAGTAAGCAAATAATGGATGAAATTTCATCATACATTTCATTCTCTGATCATGCAAGTACAGGGTACGTCAGAAAATCGTTTTATTTGAGGGGTTTTTAAGAATGAAGCTGTTGCCGGTTCAATAGAAATAATTCAAATATCTTTATACCAGTAATCTCACAAATTTTGTCAGGCGAAGATAACCACTAACCATAAAATATGATTAAATAAATAGGACAACCACTAACCATAAAATAGGACGAAGACTAACAAAATTTAGAGAGCGTGTCCAATTCCAACAGTGCGTCGGAGTAAATATTAGGCCTTTTTTAGCCATCACCAAATATGACTCGATGAAAAAAACGGGATGTCTCTCGTCTACTAGCACGATTGCGGGAAAATAGCATATCGTAGCATATCATGTGCGGGAAAAAATTCACAACCTATCCTCTCGAATTATTAAAAAAGTCGGTTTCTCTGACACAAGATTTGCGTGCAAACTTAATATAGCTAAATACTTGGAATAAATTTTCAGACTCGATTGAAGTCCAAGCAAAGCACTCACAGCGTGCTGATGTTGTTTGGCGCGACATCCAACACAACGACGGTCTCCTGTTGGCCCACAACCGCAACCGGGGATGATGAGCTACTCTCAAAAGGAATAAATTTGGCGACCCTTCGACTCAACGCTTCAGTGGAAACTAGTGTCTCTCGAGACTCAGTGCAGTGCAGCCGCACGCTGCCACCAATGCTGCCAATCAGCAGGGAGCCAATGCCAGACCCCGAAGACGTTGGATGCCACAACACAGCTGTATCGGGACACGAGCTGTTGCGGTGAACTCCTGGTAGAAGAGATTCAAGAATTTAAGTTGCTATTGCGAAGGTAAAATACTCTCTGCAAGAAAAGTGACATCACAGTAGGAAAAAAAAGTAAATTTTACAACTCACATTCAGAGTTTCTTCAAGTTAACACATGCAAACAATTTATTAAAGTGAGACTGCATAAATTGAGTGTTAAATGATCCCTAAAGATTTCAATTTAAATAAAAATATAACCGTATCATGATAACAAATAAAAAAAACATTTACATTGCCAGTACATACATTAGAATTTTTTAACACAGACTTTAATATAAACTAATTAGCAGATACTAAAAGTACCCAGCCCTGAGGTAAAAAACAATGGAAAATTTGAAAATATTTGTATAAGAAGTAAAATGCTATTAATATGTGAAATTATGCGCATGATAAACCTGCATGAAGACTGTCCAAGGGCAGCGAGCTTCCAGGAAAACATTCCAATCAGCAAATGAATTCTAATCAAATACCTATCATGAGTAACAAATTGTATCCACCACCGAGAAGTATTAGATGACCAGATGACCTTCTTTATTATCTGGTGTCCTGTCATCAAGCCAATCATAAAAATAAATCTAAATCCTGCATGAACTAGCCAGACAAAAGTATGTATATATGCCTGATGCAGGTTTTTCTTGTCTTGTGTCCCATATTAAAACGTTGCCATCAAGGCCAGTTGAAGCAAAGACGCGAGGATCCGAAGTGTGATAGGCAACACTACAGCATTCCGAGGCGTGGGCTGGACAGAACACTTGCTTGCTTTGCCTATTGCAGTCCAACACACTGATCCTGTAAAAACAAGTTAGTTAAATTAAAGATGATCCTGTATAAATAATTTAGTTAAATTAAAGACGAATTACGAGAGCAGGATAGAATAGGAAAAAATTGGTCAATGATCAGAAGTTTGCAAACAAAATATTTAAACAGGTATGAGCAAATATATGTATGATATACCGGTAATAGTAATTATTTAAACAAAGAGGCAAAATATAAGTAAGTTTTTGGATATTTTTCAGCATATATTAATAGGAAAGAAGGTGTAATGAAACTTTTGATCCTTTAAAGTGAAATAGGAAAAAAGTAATAACAAACATTCAGTGGGATTAGAATAATCTTTCTTGAGGGAGATGAGCAAGAAAATGTCTAGGAGAATGTGACATAAGGAAAAATGTTGAAGTAATAATTATAGACTAATCAAAATACAAACAAATAAATGGAAAAATAACGTAAATTAGGCATGAAGGGCAGACTTACATTCCATCACCTCCAGCTGTGATCAATTGTGTGCTATCACTGTTGACAGCCAGGCATGATACGTAAGAAGTGTGGATGCTGATGGAGTCAAGGGAGGTGAATTTTGAAGGATCTTCTGCAGTGGAGAGCCACTCCACATGCCCACCATCCTCACCCACAACTAAGATGTCTCGTGAGATCCACACAGCACATGGCACACCTGAGTCAGAGATTTAAATGTCAACCTGTTGATGAAACCATCTTTTGAAAATCAGATTAGGGTTTTTATCCTGCAAGTTGGAGAATGGACAAGAAATGTTGTTGGTAATAATTTCGCTATAGAAGATCAATCTAGTACCCAATTCAATCATTCTTTTGAAGTAATATCCTTGCTTCATAATTTCAATCACTAAGAATTGCATGATCAATCAACCCTCTGTAAATATTAAATACTCATATTATAAAAAATCATTAAATATTTCAGAAAGTTTGTGTGGAAGAAGTTTGGCACCATAAATATATAGTGGCAATTTACGTGTAAATGCTTTGCTTTTGTAAATATTCAACAAATGCTTTTGTTTCACGATATTATCTGGTTGTACAATTTTATTGATGTTGATAGAATAGTTAAGGAATTGCAAAAAGGGCAAGGGAGGGTTAGACCACAAATTGGAATTTGATGCTTAATGGTAATTTCAATTTAAAATACTTCAAATATTTTTTATACAAGGCCAATCCTGATTTGTTGGTTTATGAATAAAGGGATTTGGGAAAATAGTAGGTATTCTAAAATCTCAGTGACAATCAATCCAAAGAAATGCAAGATTGATTGCAATTATTCCCAACTAAGTTCTGTATTCAAAATCGCAAATGCTTGTGTAAATACAATACACAGATATTTCAGGACAAGGCTGGGGCAGCTACCAGCATGCAGCTGGTGAGATGCTTGAGACATGGCTATGTCAGGAGCCTGCAGCGGATCATCATAGAGCCAAACGCTGCCTGACCAGCAGCGACCAGTAAGGCTTGAGCAGCCCATTGCACATCCTCCTCCTGCAAACAAACACATATATTAACCTTTTAGAGACCAACTATCTTGCAAGTGCAAAAATGCTACATTACATCCAACATCCATGACACGACACATTAATGAAATTTATTTATTGAAAAAACAACAGACAGGTGACAAAAACCTCCTCCTGGACTTGGGTATGACACAGCCTGAAATTAAAGCCTTAATATTCAACCAATTGAACAAATGAGCTTCATATATAAACAAAAATCACTCTTACAAAAGGGAGCATATGTACAGCTAGATCCTAAAGGGTTAAATTGTTCTTAAATTAACTATAGAATTGTTCAAAATGTTTATTAAGATCTGACTAGCAAGACAAAAAATTTTATCATGGATCTTCATAGTTCATACCTATTTACATATATGTAATGTAGAATTTTCAAGCACATTCATGATTCATATAATTGTAAAGTGTAAAATCAGAGTATCTATAACCTGATACCTCAAGATCTAAACACTTAAATTACTATTTAATATACAGAAAAGGAATATTTTCATACTACAGTTTCTTTATAAGAAATTATTAATATAAAGACATGGTGAAACCTAGCAAAACCTTATGAAAAAAAAAAATATTTTTTTCAGAAGGAAAAATGGAAGTCCATAACATTCATTATGTAATAATAAGCAATATTATTAGAGACTTGGAGTTACTTACAAGTCTTACATTACAAGAGAACTAAGTCATATAAATGATATAATTATTATGATTTAGGTACTTCAGAATTTAGAATTAAATGCATAAAAAAGAATAAAAAAATCATACCAGGTCGTGGGGTTAGAAATTCCAATCTGTCTTCCATGGCTAAAAGCGGCTCTTTGGGTGATGGTGAAATTGGTGATGCTCCAGTCTGAAATGTAGAAAGGCAAAGGAATAATAGGATTGTTGATTATTTTTTTAAACAAGAGGTTTATTGATTTCTAATTTTGAGACCCTAGATAAATACAATAATAATCATTGAATTACATAGTAAGAATGACTTTTGGAAGATGACTTTGTATAAAATATAAATTTTTCTGCCATTCTACTGTAGAATAGAAGTGGGCTTCCTCTAACAGCCTAAATCTAAGGTTGAAAGTCTAAACATTCAATATTATTAAGGGGATTTGAGGAAAAAGTGGAATTTTATCTTTTGGGATTTAGCCTTTACGGAATAATAATCTCAAATAAGAGTAGAAAATTGGGCAGAAACCAGCAAAGTGAGCAAACCACCCTGATGACCTGATCAATGTGATAATACAGTTACAGTCTCAGTTACTAACTGTGCCACACTCAACCTGGTCAAGTTAGGTCAACCACAGCCCCAGCCCACAGGCGGCCAGGCCCCAAAAGGCCACAGGCCACAGCCGTCAGCAACAGGTGAATGAATCAAGATAAAATGTTAGCCTGCTGGCTGCTTCTGCTGTAACCAAGATTCACCACCAATTTTAGTTGGTAATTTTCAATATATATTATAAGGCTTTATGAGTTCATGTCATACCTTCTCTACAACAGCCGCCTCGGACGCAGCACGGCAATACTCATCAATGTCGACCATGCCGTATTTTGACAACAACACACAATGCAGCAGGAGCTGAGGAGCCTGAACACAGTGACGCTGCAATCCTAATATCCGGATACTTATATGTATGCACTATGCAGTATAATGAGGAGGACTAGTACTTTTATTTTGTGAAACGTATTTGCCGACACCTCTAAATTTTTACTTTTTGTATTTATCATACATTGTAGAACACATTACTCAACTCAGAGAACCATTTTTATCAATTCCACCAGTCTGGTTGCAACCAACTACTTTGCAAACTGAAGTACGTGAAAATTGCCATTCAAGCTATTATTTATAGAGAAATAAGTAGCAGGATCAAACTCAAATCGTAAAAGTCGAAAAATATCGTTTTTGAGCATCAAAATTTTGGGCTGGTTCTGAACATGACTTGCTTGAACATTTTATGACTGACTGGATTTTACGAAAATGCTAACAGGTTCTAATTCTTATGTGATGACCAGCATGATTTGTGCATTTTCCATTTCCTCGCTCCTCAAGTATTGAATTGTGAACATGGGCTGTACTCAGGGCTGGGCAGCGCTGCTTTGAAATGTAGCGGCGCTACCGCTACCGCTACATTGGCTTAAATGTAGCGTGCTACTGCCCACCTCTGGACTAACAACTAACATGTTGACACTAGTAACAGGCTGAGGTTGGCAACATTACACCGAAATCTTTCGTACAGTTTCGTTCTGTATCATGCTGGTTTATAATTGTATATATATTTGTATGTATCATGCTGGTTTATAAATAATATTTATTACTATTAATTAAAATCTAAAGTCTTTATCTGTAAATGTAGCGGTATGTAGCGCTGTAGCGGCAAAACCTCGTATCGCTACTTAAATATGTAGCGGGCCCTACCGCTACCGCTACATTGGCTTAATTATAGCGCCGCTACCGCTACCGCTACTGAAAATGTAGCGGCCGCTACATGTAGCACGCTACTGCCCACCTCTGGGCCTGTGCTGGCCTCTAGCATGCATACCAACGATAGCCCACATAAGCAGCGACCTTTCTCAAATCCAGTAATTTTTTGCAGAATTTAGTGCAATTTGCGTTCTCTTGGAGTTAAATTCCGAAAAGTATGTTTCTAAATGATTAATATGCGATGAAAATGAATATGGATCATCGTCTGCGATGTTCCTTCCATTCCACGTACTCATCGAGATATCAAAACCTGCAAATCCCTAAATTTCTCTCAGAAGGATGCGAGAAATTTCGTTTCATATTAATCCAGAACATCATGTAAGGAGTAAATGCATTTTAAATGTAGACATTGGATATTAAATAAGATGTGTCGACATTATGAACATATACTCCAGCTTCATGATAATCAGAGGCCTTGGAGCCTAAGGCTGAAATTGAAAGGATGGTACGCCTGATGATCTTCAAGCTTTAATGGTACCTACTCCCAAAGCGGAAACTTTTGTCCCAAGCTTGCGGAAACTTTTGTCTCTTGTTACGAATGTAACCGTTGTTAAAAATGTCCTGCACATTATATATATTTCGATCTCATGGAAACAAATCAATGGCGTCATTGTGAAAAAACTTGACCAATAGACCAAATTAAAAACTTGGACAAATAGACGATTGACAAGTCATAGGTCGCCCGATGTTCGGAGGCCTTGATCAAGAGCAGAGAAGAACGTTCACAAGTGTTCAGGTTTGGTGGCACAGCAGTCGCTGGCTGCAGTGAGTGGCGGTAGTGGACAGCATGCGGTAGGGTGTTGGATGATCTTGTCGACCTCTTGGATTAATTAACCCTAAGACTATTTCAATTTAGTTCAATTCAAAATACAATTTATGGTGTATCTATTGTGATATGATGGTCAGTTAATTTAAATATTGGTAGACGCTGCGGCACGTGAGTTTTTTTTAGAGCAACGAAGTGACATGAGGTTGTGGCATAATTTTTAACGGGGATTTGGAGGCAACTCGAATGTATTACAACCATCGGTAAGATAAGTTTGCGAACCAGGCAATTTCGTACATAATACCTAGAAACAAATGAACATCTTGTCGTGCTTTACGAAAAAGGGAGATACCAAAAGAAAGCGAAGTGAAACCGGTCATGGCGCTGAATTTTTTTGGCACGGTAGGCTTTCGAAAAGAAAAGTTGGGAGTGAATTTCATTTTTAGTTTGTGGTCTAAATTTTCCGTAAATTCTTTTATTTTTGTTATCAGGGCAGCAGTAATAACAATATTGAAAGCGTGTACTGGTTAGCACTGACGTTATTTATAACGGATGAGAAAAATCATTTGCTAGACATCGGCATATGAACTTGAACTTTCTTCCAACGTCATGGTTCTTTTAAAAAACCGTACATTTTAACAATGCGCTGAGAGATCAGCGAATGAAAAAATACAACAGAAATATTTTCACGCTTATTTATGGCCAATCAATGCTAAAAAAAACAATTATTTTTAATATATTTTGATGTCTGAGTTTGTAGCGGATGTAGCTCACTCTCAGCGTCAACATCAACTCGTACACATCCTGCCATCGTGAACGATGCAATCGACACTCGCAACCTGGGGCCGTGCTATCTAAAATAGTTACGCTCTCGTTACTCCACCAGCCAATTACTGACGGATTTTTAAGCTGCCTTTACTAAGCACAGACGGGAAACGTGCTGCTACGCATATTTGGCCGTTACGCGTATTTTGGCCGCTACTTGTACTTAGGTCGCTACGTATACCTCATGAGCGAGTTTTGATAGTAGGACAAGTAGTTCATAGTCGTTTTAATGAAAAATGTTACTGAAATATTGCTCCCAGGTCTTTATAAAAAGAACAAATATTGAAACACCAGAAGATATTCAACCAAAATCTTACGGGGTCTTGAATTGAAAAATCTAATTAATGATGCTTGAATTCATGCCCAATGAAGAAATTGACAGGTAACAGGAATGTGTTTACTTACTAACTACTCAGTATATATGTAAGTTCACATTCCTATAAAGCAACATTCTAGTAATTTGAGAGCATAAAATTAAAGGAAAAATTGTTCGATCATAAGTCATATCAGTTTCTTTTTACAACTAAAATAAACAAGATATTTGATGCGATTGAGTTATTCTGCATATTCCAGTTTTGTTTGGAACTGTGCGCTTGAGAACAGCGAAGTGTGGAGGCGGCTAAAGGCATTGCTTAGAAAGTCAAATATCGAGGTCATGTGCTGGCCACAACTGCAGCCTGCTTGTCCGCGCTGCAGTTCTTGTTGCTGTCCTTCGCTCTTTGGCCTCTACGAAGAACGTGGTAGCGGGTCAAGTTTTTAAGTTAGGGTGATTTGGGCATTATGTTAGGAGATGTGACATTACATGTGTATGTAATATAACACACTTCTACGTAATACACTTCTATGCGACACACTTCTATGTAACACACTTCTACGTAACACTCTTCTATGTAACACTTCTACGTAACACACTTCTACGTAACACACTTCTACGTAACACTCTTCTGTGTAACACTTCCATGTGATGTGTCACATAGAAGCAGGGATGTCCAGTTTTATGTAAGTTTTCATTGACACGGAGTATGTATCGGTGTAAAAATTCTTATAGAGTTGCTTGTATAATAGACATCTGTAAATCAGTTTACATACTTCAACGGGTTTTGTTACGATCATCATGAGCGATGAAACTACGATTTGAGGCATGAAAGACTGGGATCGTGCAACATGCACCAATGATAGATTCTATTACGTTATATAATGAAGAAATTGATACTTCATGAGGAAATTAGTTGTCCTTAATATAATAATATGACATGAGGCATAGCTCAGGACTTCAATTATCAGGGCACCGTTCATGGCTGTTTTCCATTATCCCTCCATTATAAAGTGCGCTAACTCACCTCGTAAAAAGTCTGTTAACAGCGCTGCTTTTCGCCATATGCTTATCCTTGAAGTGCCTTCAACATCATTATATTGAGTAGTGAAATGATATCTGGGTCATGCAACAGAGTTTCATTCTTCACAACTGCGCCACGGAACGTACGTACGGACTAAGTGACCATGTGACAGAAGGACTTTATAAGAAAGTGGGTTCGGCGGTATCTAAAATTACTAACCTTGGCGCTTAATTTGACATATCACAGTATATTAAAGTTTTTTTAAATTTCTTCATCATTTAGATATACATATGAATCAAAACAAGCTTTACACTCGAAAATCGAAATATATTAACCACTCTCTGTAAAGAGTTAATTAACGGAGGCCGTGGCCTTATGCGACTGTGGATGGTCGACGCCTTCCTAGAATAACATAACATAACATAGTGATGTCGGCTCTGAAGTGTAGGCCTGATGTGGCCTGTCGCCGATTCTTTTCCATTTCGTGCCTTGTTCATAGATCTAAACTCGTGTCATTTGACCGGATCTTTTCATGACTGGCGATAGTTTGAAGAAGCTACTAGACTTCCACCGGGTTCGATAAGGAGC